TGTTACAGCCGACTCATGACATGATACAGCCGGCTTATGACCTGGAACAGCAGGGTCGTGACCTGGGTCAGATGGATCATGACCTGGAACAGAAAGTTTTCTGTTTGGACTTATCAGAGCCGATCGTTTCGTAATAACGTCTGAAAACGAAAAGAAGATAACTGATGTGCCCACTGTCGTGGCGCGTGAAGTGAGCATAGACGGACGCACGGACGTCTAGACAAGGATCCGCTGATGCCGGAGGTGAAAACGCAGGTGGCGGACGAGTAGGGTTAGACCGTTACCGAATTCGGCCTTCTCGGCTCCGCTGACTGCGGGCGCTTTTGTGCAGTGGTGTCAGCAGTGCTGACTAGTGTGCACTGCACCGATACGATCTGAGTGGAGATTTCTCCATCTGATGACAGGGTCGTGTGCGCGTCCACTGCGATCTGAGTTCGGGTCACCAGCTTCTTTTCCCGATTGGCCAGCAGATAGCTCTTCTGATTGTGCGGAAGCTTGTTACGCGTAGGTATAGAGACTGGAGCTCACTGTGGCTCTCATTTGGTGTTTGATTTCTGAGCGCTTTTAAGGTGCACTAGCTGTAGATCACTGGTTACAAGTGGCCTTGTCAGGTGCCTATGAAATGTGAATGAAAATATTGGTTTTGGACTTGTAGTTCTTTGATATAAAGTCGAGCAGGCTTCAATGAGCTGCAGCTATGTTTGGGCTCAATCACTTCAGCTTTGCGTTGGTATTTTGGAAAGCTGCTTCATCCACCATATTTTAGTTTGTTCGTTATCCTGCTAGGACATATTCAGCTCCACCATATACTTTTATGAAGGATATGCCGTGTTGGACGTGCTTTCGTTGCATGCATGCCTTTGGTCAACCGCTAGTTAACCAATATCGCTGCCTTCTGCGTGTACAATGCCTAATATCATTGAGCCGAGATATATCCGTCACATCGCACAATCATTTTTTTGTATTACCGTCACCTGACCTCTCCGTCGCACCTGCGTGTTTAACTGTTTTGTATGCTTCGCTTACGGCACTACTATTTTCTGTAAGAAAATACACGTGAAGTGACGGCCATTGTTTCCAGCCACAGTTAATAGCCTCAGTGCTGGCCGGCCGGCGCGCCCGGCTCCCCTGCCGGGACGGGGCGCAGAACAGCCGCCCTCTTCTGGCGGCGCCGCGTCCGTCTCAGTCTGTACGTGTGTACTGTGTAGGTAGCAGTTTATGGCAACCGGTCGTGTTTATCCCCGAACGTTTCGGCGACTGTGCCGAGTGAGTCTCTGAGCAGCCAACAACGGCCGGCGGGGACACGGCGGGCACTGAGGGAGCGCTGCGCCAATGCACCACAATGCGCGCCAAGGCCGTCCGCCACAAACGCCCAGCAGCGGCTCCGCGCGCCACGTCAACGCTCACTGGTGACGAGTTTAGCTCGGGACTGGAGGTTACATATTTAGCTGACCGACAGGTCCCCCTCCCCGCCCCACAGCGGGACTGGATGTGTCGTCAGCATCTGGCCGCCCGGCCCCCTCCCCTCCCCTCTCCCGGCGCGGGCGGCGTGTGCAATGTGCACGCCGCTCCGGTACCGCTCCGTGTTCGGTGCTGATGCACTCTGTGCTGCCCGGTCTGTCCAGTGGCACAGTAGCCGGTACGTGCGCTGCGCACGTGCACGATACGTTCGTCTCGGTCTCTGACGAGCGCAGCGCGGCCTGGACAGTCCATATGGGGCTGTGGTTCCATTGGAGGCCGCTGGGCCGTGTGCTCACCGCTCACTAACAGACCGGATGGGAGCACGTCTGCAGCTGTGGCGGCGTGAGGCAGCAAAAACACGCGGCGACTGCGCCCGATCCGGGCCCGTCCCCAGCCCGTCCGGAGCCCCTCCCCAGCCAGCCGGCGCCGAGGCGCCGGCAGTCGCCTGGTGGGGTAGTCCAAACTGCGACTGTGGTGGGGTAGTCCAAACGGCGGACTCATGGCGTGCCCCGCTCGGCGGGGGAGGGGCTGGGATCCTCTCCGTGGGGGTGAGGACGGGGGCAGATCGGAACACCTGCACCGCAGCCGTGTCCGCCGGGAAGGGATTAGGTACTGTCCCGGCCGCCAGACGGCAGGAAACCAGTTCGAGTGTGGTTACATAATGCATCGACTCGACTGACGCAGTCTCGGCTGAGCCCATGTATTTGCTTTGGTTATGATGGTTAGTCTTGTGGAGTGGATTGTGGACTGTGGTGTGGATTAGCTGTTCGGCTAATTTTTAATACTCGGTCGTGTGATGCCTCTATCTGATTGAAGGGAGACCAGAGACGCTCAGTCGCATAAAATTCCTTCCGGGTGCTCTTTCCTGTCTATGAGCGAACCTTGCATTTCTATCCTAAATATTTGCTTACTACACTAGCTTATGAAAGCTGATAAGTATCGGGTGGCCCAGAAATAACGTTCCCAACTTAAAATCAATATTTCTCAGAAAGTGATAAAGATACAACATTGAAACTTCTAACAGACAATGCGGCATATATTTTCAGTAAATGGTATGATTTTTATGTTATTCGGTCATTTACTTTTTAAACGTTTCGTGTTTCTAGCATGCCATGTAAAAATTACTTTTTTGCTCAGATGTTTACTAAAAAATGTGAGTGAACGGGCCACTTCCATCTCGACGCGACGGCCTGCAGCCATGACTGCTACTGGCAACTAGCCTCATTGATGGTTCAGACCTCAGGGTAACACATTCCCTCTCGCTTTTTTCCTTATTCGGTCGATTTACTGTTTGATCTTCTTAAATTGAGGGCGATCAGCAGTAACCCATGCACCGTGCCACTCCCTCTGCTCGAAACAGGACTCAGTGTTGAAACCAATGGCATCAATTTACACCATTTTGCCTCAATATTTGAATATTTGGCACATAAGTGGGACAAAAATATTTAGGGTAACAACACACGTGCTGGTTTCATTCACGTGTTCTATTTTTTTTTTCTAACATGGTACGTCTAAGCCAATCATCACTACCGTTCAACATCGGCAAAAAAGCAAAAATGTCTTACTGAATTCAACATAAGGTTGCTGGCTTGAAAATGATGGTACAGTGTTATTACTTCAACTTGGCATACCTACCAATGCGGAAAGAAGTGACGCAACCTTGATGAAAATTTTGGCTCTTTATTTGCACTCGAATTTTAGATATAGGCATTCAAAGTTCGGAACGTTGTTTTGGGCCACCCGGAATATGCACATAACTACTTCGCTCGGTGAACTGCGGCGTTGGGCTTTATTCATAGCCGCTAGATGGCGTTAGAGGTGAGCGCCTGAATGTAGGCTGTACCGCATGGCCGGCTGCCCGTCTCTCCCACGGTAGGTATGGCTGGTCGGACGGTGTTATGTAATCGTAATGAACCGCGCCGACGCGATGTCACGCTAAGTCAACCATACTGTGGTCAGTGGTCACTTTGATTGGAAAACCGTGCCTCTGGCAGTTCAGCTGTTCGGGTAAAGGAGTAGCTCTGTCATGTCCGGGTACAGGAGTGCCTCTGGCAGCTCCGCCTGTCCGCGGGTACAGGAGTGTCTCTGTTCGGCCGGTCCGCGGGTACAGGAGCGTCTCTGTTCGGCCGGTCCGGATACAGGAGTGCCTCTGGCAGCTCCGCCTGTCCGCGGGTACAGGAGTGTCTCTGTTCGGCCGGTCCGCGGGTACAGGAGCGTCTCTGTTCGGCCGGTCCGGATACAGGAGTGCCTCTGGTAGTTCCGCCTGTCCGCGGGTACAGGAGCGTCTCTGTTCGGCCGGTCCGCGGGTACAGGAGCGTCTCTGTTCGGCCGGTCCGCGGGTACAGGAGTGCCTCTGGTAGTTCCGCCTGTCCGCGGGTACAGGAGCGTCTCTGTTCGGCCGGTCCGGATACAGGATGTGAATCTGATTTGGCCCGAGCCGTTCGGGTGGTCTGGTGCCAGCGATGGTGGCCTCTCCGTAATCTGGGGATATTTCGCGCTGGGGTCTGCCTGCTGCCAACCATAACTGCTGCCTACAGGCAGTGGGTATCGGGTGCCAGTGTAAATAAAAACAGAAATGTCTGACGCCATTTTAGAAACACTCGACAAATTGAAGTCGACGGCAGTCTATAGCAAATTAAGCAAAACACATTGCTGGCCCCAGACGACAGTCTTTGAAAAGATACGAGGCAGCATTGGAGCCAGTTTACCTTCAACGTTTAGTCAAATCACACTTTGGATGATCCAGAGTCACAGTTGGAGGCAGCTGGATCATTTGCATAGATTCAGTCCTGATAAGTGGCGTTTGTGAAGCTCGGAGTCATGTTATCACGGTCAAGCTATTCAGTTTCAGTTCCAATGTCCATTGCTGGAATGTTATCCAGAACGTTACCAGTCGAGTGCAGCTCCAGGCACGTGGTGAGTCGCTCAGATCAGTCTCGTAATGCGTCGTCACGCTCCTGCGGGGAGCGTTTGATCCACTGGCGGGTAGCGGTCTTTCAGCGAGATTGGGCCGTGTTCACGGAGCGATTCTACCGACTACCGCCGCTATTGGGATCACCGCCTGGCTGTATACATATCAGCACCAGCCCGCATAGTGTGACAAATGCGGGCGGCTGGCCTGGTGACCCAGTGGTCCCCTCCCATTGCTGACATTTGTTCGTTGGGTATCGGCGAACTGAGCTGCGACCTGATCGTCTAATGTCTAGCGACCGCTGACGGGCGGGCGGTGACGAGCGGGTAGTTCGGGGCGGCTGTTTGCGCCATCTACACCGGCCGACGGTCCTGCAGACTGATCTCAGCGCCACGGGGGGTGCATGGTGGTCAGATGTGCCGAGGGCCCAGCCACCTGGCGGCCGCTCTCAGCTCCCACCCTGCCACCTGACGGCGGGGCTGAGCTGCGGGTGGTGCGGCGCGCCTGCAGTGCGCCCCCGGGGCGGTCCGGTGAGCAGTGCGCCGGCGCCGACTAGCTCCTGCCAGCCGGCGTCTAATCATAGCCGGCCGTCGCGGCGGGCGTGGCCGGTCGCAGCTCGGGCGGACAGGGCGGCGAGCCGGCGCGGCGGCAGGTGGTACTCCCGGAGAGCGCGAGGGCGAGCGGCGCGCGATGGCCACGGAGGCGGAGCAGGCGCCGCTGGGCCGGCGGCTCGAGTCGGTGGGGCCCGAGCAGCGCGTGCCCACCACCCTATCGACGATCGCCGTGCAGAGCGGCGCCACGCGGATCGTCATCGCTCTGCTGCAGGTACGGCCGCGGGGCACCGGACCGGCTGGGCTGAGGTCAGCCGAGGCCGAGCCTGAGGGTGTCGAGTCAGCCTGCATGGGACCGAAATTTAGTGCACGGTAGCGTCTGGGAATGATTTTGAGATTTGACCCATTTGCGTCTGGAATATGACCCTGTTTCATTAACAGCCCCCGACGATCGTCTTTGATATGCCTTTGAGCGCCGCTCAGGTGCGGCGTTCCTTCTTTTACATCCACCTCTGACACCTTGGACTGAACTGAAGGTCTCCTCTCGGTGACAGCTCTCCTCCCTGCCATTGGATCAATCCTGACAGTGGCAGGGGGCGACTGACAGCCCGGCCCCTGTCCCTATCGCCCGGCCCGTCGGTCTCCCTGACCGCTCTGTAAGTGGGTGAGACGAACGGGCCCTGACCGCGCGGGGACGGCCGCACGGTGTCGGTCGCCGGGCGCTGTTTATAGCAGTGCCTGGGCGGCGCCGTCGCATCTCGCATCGCTCCGCTTACCGTGCCACTCACAGACACAGTGGCGGCCGACGCCAGTTCTACCACTGATTGGGTGACTGACACCGTATTACACAGCCAGACAAACAGCAGTGACCGTACTGCACACAGACACCCACAGACATAGCGCACTAGGCCTACGTCTAGCGAGTTGTTAGCGAGTTGAACTGGTTGCCTGCCGAGGACCTCGTGATGTATCGTACACTGTGTCTGCTGAAAGCCATCCTCACCTACGAACAACCGGCTGACTTAGCGAGTCACTTTCGAACGGCGATGAGTGTGAGGCAGAGATCGACCAGGCAGGACGACCATCTTGTTTTACCACGCATCAGAACAGAGTCAGGGAGGAGAATGTTCATCTACCGGGGGGCCCGAGCATATAATGCCCTACCACCCTCCGTACGGGACGGACGCACCGCGGCTTTCAAAAACGCTTTGCGGATACACATGGGTCAGGCGCGGCAGATGCAGGTGGGGCATTCCACGTCAAATCGAACAAAAATCGGCTGTTTTGCACCTTACCATCAGCGATTTCATTATAAATTTGTGAGCGAGTTCCTGTGTGGCTCCGGACATTACATTGATGTTTTTTGCACATTCTGACCACAGGTCTTCTAAATATAGGGCATCAAATTTTTACAAAATGTTGCATCTTTATATTTTTGAACGACCATAACTTTGGTTGTACTTGTTTGATTTGAATGAAATAAACCTTACTGTTTAGGTAATTTCTTAAGCATTTGTTTAGAACTGCACTAACTTAAATATATGACCTTGAAATTTGCTTAACTCTGTTCTTAAGCACAAATATTGAAATAGCAAAAAACACGTCACCTTCGATTTGGCTCATTTTCATATATTTTATTGCCTACTATATTCTTAACAACCTGTGAAAAAATTAGAGTGGGCCATTCATAAGTTTTGAAGAAAATTGCACATATGCAAACGTATGTTAGCACGCGCAGTGGAGGGGGAAGAACAAATTTCGCCCACCCCTCCTGTTTTTCGCCAATATCTCATAAGATTAATGCGAAATTAATTATGGCTACCTGTCAAGAATTGAATTGGGCATCTCATCGTGCAAGCAATAAGAAAATCGGTTCACAACTGTTCTAGTAATAGCGGTGTAAAGTGAACATCCTGTCGCCGCAGCAACGCGGCGGCTCGGCAGCCGGCGCCGACCGCTACACGCCGCCTGAATTGTAGACTGTGCCGGGACGGAACGGAACGGTTCCGTCTTTACATCGCGCTCCCTACCGCTGATTACCTTCGATTCGCGTCAAATTTTGTGAGAAGACTAAGAAATGTACAGGCAATCTTATGGCGAAAAAATTTTGAAAATCGGTTGGTAAACAATTGAAATATGAACGTGTAAACACAAAATTGTGATTGCTGCGTTTCCCGCATCGGCCGAGCCCGCCTCAGCCGGCGACATGTTACTCTTAGCAGGCCTCTAACTGCCATATTTATTATTGGATTAACTAGAAATTCCCCATACATACTAAAAAATGTATGTTCTTTCGTATAGTGGAGATCAAAAGACGTGAAAATATCGTAGCGTGATAATGTTTTCGTTGAATTTACTTCATGATGCATTTCCACACGGCTCAAAATTCACCGCAAAATACCGTTTGCCTGAGACACTTTTACTATGGAACGTGAATGCTTGACTACGATGACTATGCATTTCCATTCTCGCAGAGTTTGGGATATCGCTAATCAGCAATCATTCATTTCAGAAAGTGTACACAAGCAAGCATGTCTTGACTCTGTCTTTCAAGGTCACGCGCGGTTGCGTGATGTTGATGCATGAAAACGGCGTTTGCCGCGAAAGTTATGAATGGCCCACTCCAATTTTTTCACAGATGGTTAGGAACATTGTGACGGACATAATATGTAAAAATTACCCAAATCGAAGGTGACGTGTTTTTTGCTATTTAAATTTTTCTGTTTTAATTCAAGGTCAAATGCATTTCAAGGTCACTTCAATTTAATTTTATAATTAAAAATCAAAGCCTTATCAATTGCCTATAAGACCCTGTTAATATCATTTTGATACCAGAAAAGGAACCAGAGTTATAGCCATTTAAAAAATTGATGTGTGGCATTTTTCGCTATATTCGATGACCTATATCTCAGCGATACGTTATCAAATTTTGAAAATATTATACGTAACTCAGTTTTGAACCATGCCCAGTCTGCCTACAAATTTTCAGAAAAATCGAAGGGGATGACGGATTTCGGTGTTTGATTTGACGTGGAATGCCCCAGGTGTGAGCGTGCTCGTGTGTGGTACCTTTTAGCATTCTTTCATTGGGTTAGTTGCCTTTTGCATTGTTTTATGTCGTATTAGTGTCGTGTGTGTATGCCTTTTATCCCACAACTGACGTAAGCACATGAAAAGCCGGTGTATGTTTACCTGGATGAGCTTGAAATACATTCTGAATTCTGAATTCTGAATTCTGAATTCTGAGTCTATCTATGAACGTTGCTTGATCTGGCTCGTTCGGGCAGATGTCTGCGGCAGGTAGCGACTGTCGCTATAAAGTTACTTTATGAAAGTAAGCCCTCGTTGAAGTCTGTTCTAAACACTGTTTGCATTCGGAGTCAGACCATCTGCGAGGGCCCACAGAATATGATGTCATTGAAGGGTCAGACTCAAAATAAGCGTTGAACTTGGAATGGAAACTCGATTTGCGGGTCCAGAAGCAGCCATTGCGTCAGCGGCGAGTCATTGTCAAGTTCCGAGCTGGATGTAAACTTGGCGCTGGACTCGGACTCGACTCCGAGTCAGAGTCCGGCCGGCCTGTCGCAGCAGGTGCCGGCCGAGAACGGCTCGGCCCGCTATGAGCTCACCGTCGGCGGTATAAATAGCCGCCGGCCCAGCCGACCGGTCAGGGCACCCATGGCCGTCAGCACTGGGCGGGACCCACTGAGTCCCCAGCGGATCCACTCTGCCGCCAGGTGGGGTCGCTGTGTCCCTCCGGTCTACCTCCGTCGTCGAACGACTACCACCGTCTAGTAGCGTCATGATAGCTTCCCATCTCCGAGTCCGCGCCCGGGCTCTCGGTGCCGTCCCGGCGGCCCCGCCCTCCCCCCTCACCGCGGCTCCGACAGGCCACTTCTGAGAGTTTTGGGCCTGACGCATGCTGCGGGGCAGGGCGCCAGGTCTGTGCCTGCCGCCTGTCCCGGCCGGCCTGTCTCGGCGGAGCGGGCGGCGAGTCGCCATGTATTGGCGCTGCTGTCACACACCCACGGTCCCACGGGGCGCGGCGGTGACGGCGGTCGGCTCGGAATGCGCGATCACTGACGCCGCCCCGGTGTGGTGTTCACTGTTCAGCCGGGCGGTTATTGCATGGTATGGCTTTTGAGTCGTGGTAGCGCACATGCTGAGCGTATGGATCGCATTCGGAAGTATGTATTTCGTATATGTGTCATGGGTCGTAATGCGCACCAGCCAATGAATAATGTGGCCACCTAACTCGGTGTTCTTTCGTTACCAACGGTGTGCCCCGTGCGAGACTACACGCTCCAATAATTCATGTTACCCGTGCGTCCCAACTAGGCCTCCATAGGGGATCGATCGCGTAACTGACTTCACTCGCATAGCCGTTGTATTGCAACAAGGAGCACTTCATGGAGCACTCGACATTCAACAACAAATAGAGGCGCATCGGGTGTTGGTCGTCCGGCTGAGTGGCTCGGCGATGTATAGAGCGGGTCTGCGCCGCCCGCAGTGTCAACGACGTTTACACATTGGTGGTGCACGGGGCGACCTTTATTAAAACGGCTGGCAGCTGTCTCGTCCGTCTCGTCTCGTCCGTCGACTACCGCATTCTTATATTGCGATGACCCTTTATCATGACTATTATCTCGTGTCGGTGAGTATCGTCCCCAATCTTCAATTTATCAGTGTGTACCGTGCCTTCTGGCTTTGTTTGTTACCAAGGGATGCACGTAAAATTTGCCGGCATTCCAGATTAATTACCACACCTTATCTTGGCTCTCGCGCCAGTTTCTCGCCTACTTGCATCCGTCGACGGCCCGTTTTTCAGCCCGTTTTTCCCAGAGGCTCGTCGGCGCACCGTCTGGGTAATGCCTCCTCGCCCCCGGCACCTCCTCCCCCCCCCCTGGCACCATCCCTCCGCCAGCGGCACCGGGCACCTGCGGAATGGAATTCGGCCGGTCCGCCGTACCCGGGCCGTATGCGGCCGTGCAGCCGGGCAGGGTCCACCGGGCGCGCACGTGTAAACCGAGTCGGTCCGGCCGGCCTCACCGCCGCGCCGCGCCCGGCCCCGTCCGCGCTCAGCGAGGGCTGCGGCCGAGTTTTGGGCGGGATGGAAGCCCTCCCAGCTGAAGGGCAGCTTGGCTTCGGGAAGGAATGATTCCTGACTCCTGTGAGGTCGGGATTAGGGCACGGGCTTCAAGTGGACAAACATCTGGGGGCTGGGCGGACTCCTGAGTTTGGGTGGGACGATGACCGGCGGTTAGGGATGGGCGGGGTGGGACGATGCCCTGTCTGGGGTGGGAGCAGAGGGAGCGGGTGACGTCAACCTGCCGGTACGACGACGGCACCGCTTTCAGCCGGCGCGGCCCGACCGTGTTGACGGAGGCCAGCGGCGGTTCCAGGCGGCCAGGGACGGCCGGCGCGGCTGGAACAACTGGGACTGCCCGCGCTGGGTCTGTATAGCTACCGGAACAGTGTTGGGAGGCGTTTGAATGGAGTGGCCCTCTGAATAACACTTTTCCTTGCTCGTGTCTTGTGGTGTGAATGAGGAAGATATATCGGAATAAGCATGCAGAGTTGGATTTTGGCTGGATGTGGGAGACGGGAGAATAAATTACCGTAAGATAAATTATTTCGTCTTTTCAATCTTCACCAGTCTGTCGGTCATCTTTTGCGCCACCCAGTCGCGCTCCTTTGAATATCTTTTTGCCGGGAACTGCTGTTCGTCTCACACTTTGATCTCTCCCTCCGAAGTGAAGGGCTCCTCTCACGGCTGTCTCGGCCCGTGCTGCCCTCAAAGGTGCCGGTCTGGGGCGGGTGGGCCGATGCGCTCTGAGAGGCACAGAGCGGCAGACCTCACTCTGCGGCCGCCGTGCTCCCGGTCCCTGCCCCCCCCCCCCCGCCCAGCCGTTCTCTGCACGGCCGAGTGGCGTCTGTCACTGGCTGAGACGGCCGGCTGGGAGAGCAGGGCGCCGCGCTGCTCCCCTCCAGTGCGCCTCACACAGCCGCGGCGCCGGAGGGCCCGCAGCCCGCCCGTCAGGTGCCGAGAAATGGGGTTAAACAAATGAGCTTTACGAGCCGCCGCGGAACAGAATGATGTGTGAGACGCTTCCGGGGAGTGATTTGGGACGGGAGGCTGTTGCCGGCGTGCTGGACGTCAGCGGAGATGACTGACCACTGCCTGGGGCTGGCCTTTGAGGTGGTGCTGGTATCTTGTTGCAATGCCGCACTTATAGGCCATTCAAAAGCTTGCAGTAACGTTTCCGAAGCTTTAATTTTGCTTAACAAGGACATGGGCAGATTTGTTATTTGGTGTTCATTCATGATTTAAAGTTGAATCAACAAAGTCATTTGTAGTTTAATTGAAGTTTTCCAGTATAAAGCCACCGTTCGATGTAGGAGGCCTCCGGTTGCCACCGTGGCCGGGGGCTGTGGCATTTCCCGTCGGTGCCTCAGCCTCCTGAAATAGACGCCATCTCACCGCTGACCGGGCTATGTTTCATCGGCGCCCCCTCTCCCCTCTCCCCTCTCCTCGTCTCCCCGTTCTCCGCCGCCCGCGGCGTACACCGGCCGTATATACCTGTGAGCCGGGTCAGAGCCGACCTCCCCCCGCCCGCCCCGGCCCGTGCGCGGCGGTCAGTTTGTTTGGACGGCGCCGCGGCGTCGCAGGTGGTCTGACGACCGACCCAGAGCGGCGGGTACTGCGTGCGGTCCGCCCCAGAGCGGCGGGTACTGCGCGCGGTCCGCCCCTGAGCGGTGGGTACTGCGTGCGGTCCGCCCCAGAGCGGCGGGTACTGCGTGCGGTCCGCCCCTGAGCGGTGGGTACTGCGTGCGGTCCGCCCCAGAGCGGCGGGTACTGCGTGCGGTCCGCCGCAGAGCGGTGGTGACCTGTTGGGTATACTGCGTGCGGCCCTCCGACGGCCGGTGGAGAGTGACAGGCCACGCACCAGGCGCAGAGAGTCGCAGGGCAGCGGTGACGATGGGGAGTAAGTTCACTACCAGTGCGGAACTATAGTATGTACATGGGACAGTGTGATCTAATCCGGCCTTATCGACCCCCTATACCTGTCTAAATAATTGAAAGGAATAACAGTCGTAAAAGCACACATTAAAAACAGTAATAAGGATTAGCGAATAGCGCGGTCTTACATGGCCGTGCGGGGTCGCAGCGTTTTTGCCCGCCGGTGGTGGCAGTTACTGGCTATTGTTGATAGCCGCCAGGTCGCTGGCGTGTTTGCCGCGGCTGCACGTCGGGCTTGTTTGTCGAGTCAGACCCGGTACAATTCACTGCGCCCGTTTGCCCGGCTGATTAGCACCTGTGTGCTGGAGGATGGAAAGGCCCCGGGTACACGGCGGGGGCCGGCATTGTTGGAGCAGAGTCGTCCGACGCTGCTGGTTCCGCTCAAAGCCGATGTTGGCGGAGTGCCACTTCAGCAGCCGCCGCACTATTGCCACCCAGTCAGTGTGTGCATAAAGGATGTTGTGAGCGTTAGTATCATCGCCACCGAATTACATACAGCAGTATGTTCGCATTGACATTGAAGTGTCCGTTATCAGCGCGGAGGCGCTAATTTCGCCGCTCTAGCGTCACCCTCCCGACAGGCGCTCCGTCAGGGGCCGAGCGGGCCGGCCATTTGGCAGCCTGGCCGGCGGCGCCGACAGCCCCCGCCCCCCCCCCCCCCCCCCTCCGCCTCTGTTTGTGTGGCCGTCCCAGGGGCGGCAGCGGTCCTATGGGGAATGGAGGGCGCAGGTGGGGCGCGACCCGACCGGCTGACCTGGCGGGGTCGGTGGCTGCGTCTGGCGACCTGCACACCGCGCGTGAAATGTTGGACCGGGAGACCTGGCCGGGCCTGGCTCCTGAGAGGAACAAAGCCCGTCTGTCGGAGAACGTTGTGTTGTTTCAGACACCGTCACTCATCGCTCTTCGTCTGACGTGGGCGCGTGCGGTCGACATTGAACCTCTAGTCGGGGGCGGGGTTTTGTTTTATGATAAGGGAAAATAGTTAACGTAGGCATGATAATAGCGGAAAAAGGAGTAGCTAATATGAATTACAATTGTATTTGTGTAGGCAGGCTAGTGAAGCCATGTTGCAATGCCTCACAGTGGCCCTATAAATAATGATGAATATTCATAAACTAGATTGTGATGCAATGCGTGCGTCTGGCGCACTGCGGGCCAGTCTATGTATACGGCGTTCAGTGTACTGCGGGACAGTCGACATATACGGCGCCTGGTGTACTGCGGGGCAGTCTACATATACGGCGTTCGGTGTACAACGGGACAGTCTATGTATACGGCGTTCGGTATATTGCGGGACAGTCTACATATACGGCGCTCTGTATGGTGTGTGTAAGGCGGCACAGTCTAGGCATACGGCGTTCGGTGTTTTGCGGTACAGTCTACATTTACGGCGTTCCGTGTATTGCGGGACAGTCTGTGTACAGTGTACACGGCATTCGGTGTACTTCGGGACAGTCTATGTCTACGGCGTTCTGTGTGCTGTGGGGCACCCTATGTATACGGCGTTCGGTGTACATACTGCGGGACAGTCTGTATATGGCGTTCTGTTTGGTGTATTGCGGTACAGTCTATGTTTACGGCATTCTGTCTGGTGTGTTGCTGGACAGCTTACATGCGCTCATCGAGCACCAAAGCGACCGGCGTGTGCACTGTGCAGTACATACTTTATTGGGTGCAGTGTCGGACAGTTTAGGCGTTCTGGTCAATTTGATTTATGCCACCCAGCGCTCCATGAGCCCTGGCTAAATAGACTCTGCATTTCTCTATTCGTGACGGGTTTGTTGCTTTCGTTTCCAGAGCCGAGAATGGGTGGAGCTGAAGGTACTGGAGATGAGCCCGGAGCTGACCCACCTGGGACACAGCCTGGAGGAGGCGCAGCTGCTCCAAAAACAGCACGACGAGGTGCTGCAGAAACTCGCGGTAAGGAACGCTGGTCTGCAGGTGTTACAGAAACTCGCGGTAAGGAGCGCTGGTCTGTAGGTGCTGCAGAAACTCGCGGTACGGAACGCTGGTCTGCAGGTGCTGCAGAAACTCGCGGTAAGGAACGCTGGTCTGCAGGTGCTGCAGAAACTTGCGGTAAGGAACGCTGGTCTCTCGCGGTAGGGTCGCCCCCGGCCGCCGCGGTGTGCTGTGTGTAGCGCACAGGTGTACGGTGAGTGCCAGCTGGGCAGGGTCGACACCGCCGTCAAACGGCTGTGCTGCGGCTGAACACGTGTAGAACTAGATACACTGAGCTCTGCCGGGCTGGTGACCTTTGTGTAGGGGATGTTGGGGCAATGCCGGAGTTGGGGCAAAGCCGAAATTCGAGATATTTCGAAAACCGTAAGACATGAATGCCACCTGTCAGTGATGCTCTGAAGCTTAAGTGACTACAATTATCGCATGTTTGTTACGAGTCGTCATTCGGAATACTTCGACTGTGAGGGCGCCAAGAGCGTTTTCAAGGTACGTTTCCCTTGTACTACATGCGCCTTTGAAGCTGCATTTTTTACTCATTATGCTACCGTTTGTCTGGCCAATTCGGTTAAGTAATCTTCAGCATGTCTTTGCATAAGTGTGCTGCCTATTTGAAATTTATACAGCACGTTGAAAAGTTATGGGCCTGCAAATGAAAGTATGGCTGGCTGGGGTAATGCCGAAAACGTGCGATTACGCACGTGTTAAAAGCACGCTACGTGGACTTTACTGCTGTAGAAAAGCAACGCGTATTTTTAGTCACACAAATTACACTTTCAACCGACACAACGGCTTGTTACCTATAAGGAATGATTTACCTGGCATTTTCTTATTATATCACACAATTATAACTTCCAGTGTGCACCGCGTCCTCAATCTCTTGAAACGTGTGTCAGCTTTGATGAATTCTGGATAAAGTTTGAGATAAAATGGTAAAACATCAATGTCGGCATTCCCCGTAGATCATTTCTCCCATTTTCGGCTTTCCCCGCAGTCCGGGGCAACGCCGAAAAAGTCACTTCTTTGATATTTTTAGTTTGTGCGCTTAACGGTGTGCGAATTCATCAAATGCGCCTGGTATGTTTGAAAGGCAAAAGACTGGCCTCTCGAATGACGCCAGCAAGAATAGCGTATGTTGTCTACCTTGCGTGCTACGGGCGTCAGAAAAAAAAAGTCTTCGGCGTTCCCCCAACTTCCCCTATTGACCAGCCTAGTTATTTAATCGGGAAGGTAAAATAATGGCCTGTGTGACGCAGGAAACCAGCATCGAGCATCTATCTGTAAATAGTAGCAACTCTTTGCGTTGTTTTCAATTGCTACATTGCGCCTATGTTAGTGCGGCATTGTTCTGAATTCAGAGCTATTGCTCCTATCTTTAATACAGTCACCTGTTTTATCAACACTGGATGCATCACCCTCTTCTTTGTGCTGTCTCAAAACTGGGCGATAACTCGAGGTTCAAAGGAGGCCTGTGCAGTGTGCAGCCTGTGTGACGGCTGGGCCGCGGATGGTGAGACGGCGTCCACTGAGCTCACCGGTCACCCCCTGCCGGCGCGGACGGCTGCGCGGCATTCCTGACCCAGCCGGGGCCGGCGGCGGCGCCAGGAGCCCGCCCCGCCCCGCCCCCGCCCGGCACAGGATGGGCCGGTATAAACAGACAGCGCAGCTCCCGGCGAGCTGGCGGAGCTTTCACACCCTCACAGCGGGCCTGAGAGGGCCCAGCTCCGGGCAGTGGAACTGAGGACGACATATGATGTGAACTATGACCGCACAATTCAGCTCTGCTCTCACAGTTCTAAAAATGAGCTCATAGCAATTCTCAGTCACTGCCTGCCTGAGGTTTAGGCCATTACCTAACGGGTGGTCAGTATGAAACTGGACAAAGTTTGAATTGTTACTGTGTCGAAAGTTTCCAAGCAAAAGCAACGAAAATCGCGTTACCGTGCCATTATTTTGTTGTGATCACGATCGCTCTAATGGATATGTGACACCGGACCTCTGTCAGCCGCCAAGCGCACGCGCGCTGGCAGCCCCGCTATTGTCTTTCGCGGCACCTCCGGGTCGATTTGACGTATGACCTGCTGGATTTTCCGCTTCAACTGAGTGTCTCAGCTGGCCTGTCACCTTCCCTTATACACTCTCTGTTTGATGAGCCCCCACAGATCCTCAATGGGCTAAATCTGAGGGGTACATGGCAGGTTCATGTCACGTGCTATTTCGGGCACCCCAGCCTCCTCAAGAAGTTTCGTGTTCTAGCGCGCGTACTGTGACTGTTGCAAGGTCGGAACCTAACAGAACATCATGCTCTGTGTTCTGAGACTCACGAAGTGGTAGCAACGCGCCATTCAAACACTTTTCATAGCACAGTTCGCCCTTTACATTGCCTGTGCTCGGCAAGTAACTGGACGCGTGAGCCCCTCGGACGCATGGCAAGCCAGACGGGCATCTCGAGTGGATGCTTGCTCTCAGGTCGAAAGCGAAGGTGCGATCCACATGTGGAATAGTGTCTCCACCAGCTGAGGTGTAAAATTCGACAATGGAAGGCATTTGGCTGCCACTGCAGGTGAAATAAGATTCATCGTCCATATGCACCTCCATGTTTTTGCTACCCTGCATTGGACCCTGTGACAGACGGCGCAGGCGGGTTTTCTGTGTTCGAAATTGTGCCTCCGTCACCTTTATCCTATTTTTGTACCTGCTTCCTGCTTCTTGACGCATTAATTGTTCATATGTTTTGAAGATTCCAACATTTCTTCCCAGAGATCACAAGGAGAGCCCCAACTGTTCGGTGACGGCGCCGGTTTGTTTCTTCCGGTGCTGAATGAGCCTTTTCTTGGTGATCTTGCGATTCCCACCATGCAAAACATCTGCAAGTCCTCAGAGTTTATCGATGATCACATATTCTTAAGATCTGGTTACACCCTATGGCGTAATGTGACGCATAATGGTAGCATTTTTGTAATTTGTGTTATTTTCACAAACTTCCGCGAACAGGTCCCGGAACGCTTGCTGACTTACCGGCGCAATGTTTTCTTCTAGTTAATAGCAGAAAGTTGAAATATGAGCTGGTAATATACAATAACTGGAAGTATTCACCTGCCAAAAATAATTAAAATCTGTCCATAATTAGAGAAGCTATACTTAATCAAATTTTGTCCAGTTTCATACTGACCACCCGTTATCTCATGAAATTTATAAACAACTGAATCATAAACCCTCGGATCACATTTTTATAAGCACGCTTAGAACGGAAAGTGCAAACATTTATGCACCCGTCTTTATTTTTGGAGGTCTCAGAGTTATGTTTACGAGTCGGGTCGGAACAGTTCGCCGCCGGCAGCCCGCTCTGTTGGCCGCCCCACGTCTCCGCCGCCGGACGCTGCGGACCGATTTCGTAATGGTCGCTCGGTCACCGTCTGTTGTCTGGGACGGCCTCATTGTCGCAGGGTGTCGATGTGTTGACGCATCACAGTCCGGCCGACCGCCGAGGCACATTGCTGGGTGACGCGACTGAGTCTGTGACCCGACTGTCAGAGTCGGGCCGGGCAGGGCAACAGCTGTATGAGGGAGTAGGAATTAAAATGGAGAACTCGCAAATGGCTCTACTCGATCTTAATTCCATTTTTAAATGTCATGTGGGTCATTGTTTATGGTATCCCTATCCTTATGCTTCTCGGTTACTATGACTTTGAATTTAAACAATTTCAGTTCATAAATCTACCGAAGTTCCGGCGCCGTGACATGTTTGGCTCGCATATCATCGCCTTCAGCCACTGCCAGTGTCGCCGTCGTGCTGGGCTGGGCGGCTCAGGGGCGCTCTGGCACCTGTCCAGTGGTCCGTGGCGGCGCGGCGCCCATCCAGCCGTGGTGAGGCGCTCGCCCCGGACACGGGTTCGCGCTGCGCGCCGCCGCACGTGCCGCGCGTCGGGTGCCGTCCGGTCTCCGTCATGTCAGCTGCCTAACCTGTGAAGACGTGCCGGCGCTACAGTAACGCCCGGGCACGTGCGGCCCTTCCGCTCCCTCCGACACACGCAGCTGCAGAGTGCGGACCCACTGCAGGCGCTGTGAGCGGCTCATTCATCGGGGCGCGTCGGCCAGCTTCCCAGAATACGGCTGAACTTATTCTTACGCTGTTTGGATGCAGTTCTCATTTCTCCAGTTTAAATGTGATTTGATATGATTGCGCGAGTGTGATTTTCTGTACAGTTCACTCAGTGAATGTCTCCGTGAGGCGGTCTTGTCTCCTCCAACAAAGGCGCTGCATCCGGTGTGGGGCGGGACGGGGCGCCGCCGGCCGCGGCCCGTCGGTCCATATACACACACCGGCCGGAGCGTGTGTTTGTTAGCGCTCGACCTCTCCTCTGTTGATCACCTGTCGGCACAGACGTCTCCTCCCCGCCGCTCTCTCCGACTCTCTCTCTCTCTCTCTCTCTCTCTCTCTCTCTCTCTCTCTCTCTCTCTCTCTCTCTCTCTCTCTCTCTCTCTCTCTCTCTCTCTCTCTCTCTCTCTCTCCCTCTCCCCTCTCTCCCATCCAACGGTAGGGGGCGGGCAGAGTAGTGCATACTGATCACAGGAAAGTAAGTTCAGTTTGCCGACAATGTTTTGACCACTTTCATAATGCCTCCTCAGACGCTACTAGCTACGAACTTTGATGGGGCCTGATAGCATCTTACGCAGGTGTCAGGTTTTTGGACTCGGAGGGAATATTGACGTGCACCTCTCTACGCCGGCGTTATTCTGGCTCCCCTGAGCGCGCCGGCCGGCAGTGGCGGGCCACGGCGGCTGCTAATCACAGTCGCCGGTAATTGCCGTGACCGCAGCACCTCTCCGCCGGGCTGTTGGGGACTCTGATGAGTCCATCGGCGCGCTGGGCCTCCTCTGGGCGCCGATGTGGTCCGGGCAGAGCTGTCGGTAGTTCGGGACTGCCGGCCCATGCCGTGTCTGGTCCGCTCGACCAGCAGGCCTGTCTTACCGTCTGACCGCTCGGCTCGCCGTTCTGTCCACTGTCTGGCTGACTCGGCTCTCTGCTCGTACCATCCTCTCTCCCGCCCGGGGCGTGGCCCGGCTCCTGGCACGGGCGCCAAGTCCCGGCGACGGACCGTCCAAGTCCCGGCGACGGACCGTCCAAGTCCCGGCGACGGACCGCCTCAGTCCCAGCGACGGACCGTCCCAGTCCCAGCGACGGACCGCCCCAGTCCCGGGTACAGTCCGTCTCTGTCCCGGGTACAGTCTGTCCCCTCCATGTCCCGTCCCAGTGCAGTGGTGGCTCAGTTGGCGGAGCCGACCCACCCCCTCCGACGGGACACTGTCCCTGGCCGCTCAGCTGCGTCAGTCTGATTGACAGCGGGAGCCGGGCCGGCACGGTCGGACGGATCTGATGCCGGGTTCAATACTGCAGAGCCGACTACTGCGCGGCATTGCCAGATGATCTGAGCGGTAAACACTGCACACAGTAATGCAACCGACCGGATTTGGCCTGGCAAAGTGATTCTGTTCCGGCGCGCTTCTGTCTTTGGAGCATTTCACGTTGTCGCTAGCCTGTATGGCTTCACAGATGTCTCTTGAGCGTCTCGATGACATCCATCCAATTTTGGTCCGCTCACGGTCATGCCCAATCTCACTGATCCTGTAACAGACATTATGTTTGAGCTAGCTCTGCTCTGCACGTGATTCCTTGGACTTCAATCGTAGTGCCCGGCTGGCGCTAAACCTGGTTCAATAATTTATATGCTGGTTTTTCATGGAAGGCACCCTATGTCGAGATTCGCGGTCTACCACTAAAAACTTACGCTCTTTAAATGTATCCTGAAAAAGATATAATGACTAGGTACATATGATGGCTGTCCCTGTTGGTCTCTTTTAGTCATGAGTCGTCCCCTGACGATTTCCGCGCGCTATCCCCGTCCCGCCTCCCCCGGGACGCACTGCTGTATGCTGTGGGAGTGTGGTCTGACCCCCCCCCCGTCCCGCCTCCCCCGGGACGCACTGCTGCTGTGCTGTGGGAGTGTGGTCTGACCCCCCCCCCCCGTCCCGCCTCCCCCGGGACGCACTGCTGCTGTGCTGTGGGAGTGTGGTCTGACCCCCCCCCCCGTCCCGCCTCCCCCGGGACGCACTGCTGCTGTGCTGTGGGAGTGTGGTCTGACCCCCCCCGTCCCGCCTCCCCCGGGACGCACTGCTGCTGTGCTGTGGGAGTGTGGTCTGACCCCCCCCCCCCCGTCCCGCCTCCCCCGGGACGCACTGCTGTATGCTGTGGGAGTGTGGTCTGACCCCCCCCCCCCCCGTCCGGCTCCCCCGGGACGCACTGCTGCTGTGCTGTGGGAGTGTGGTCTGACCCCCCCCCGTCCCGCCTCCCCCGGGATGCACTGCTGCTGTGCTGTGGGAGTGTGGTCTGACCCCCCCCCCCCCGTCCCGCCTCCCCCGGGACGCACTGCTGCTGTGCTGTGGGAGTGTGGTCTGCCCCCCCCCCGTCCCGCCTCCCCCGGGATGCACTGCTGCTGTGCTGTGGGAGTGTGGTCTGACCCCCCCGTCCCGCCTCCCCGGGATGCACTGCTGCTGTGCTGTGGGAGTGTGGTCTGACCCCCCCCCCCCCCCCGTCCGGCTCCTTTCAGAGCAAACAGTCGCCGGTGGAGGAGCTGCTCAACCAGGCCGACCAGCTGATCGCCAGCCAGAAGCCCAAGGCCGAGGTGTACTCGGCCATGGCCGAGAGTCTGGGCCTGGCCTGGCGCGACCTGAACGGCCAGCTGGAGAGCCGCCGCCAGCTGCTGCAGCACAGCGTCGCCTTCCACAGGTCAGTTCCACAGGCCCCTCCACACTGCAGCACAGCGTCGCCTTCCACAGGTCAGTTCCATTGGCCCCTCCACACTGCAGCACAGCGTCGCCTTCCACAGGTCAGTTCCACAGGCCCCTCCACACGGCTGCACAGCGTCGCCTTCCACAGGTCCGTGGTGCCGGGTATATGATGCATGGAATATTGTATTGTTTGTGGGCCGCCCCTGAGCGAAGTCCTCCGTTTCTCTTCATCCCCAGCCATTCCCGCAGTGCGCCGCCCGCTCGGCTGCGGCCATCCGTCATTGGTATCGTGTCGCTCGTCGGCCGCCCATATGTCGCCGTCACTGCCGGGCGGTTCGACTGCCTCCGGTGCTCCGACTGCTGATGTCTGACTGAGCTGCCTGCCGGCTTTTAATCTAAGCAGTCCATCAATAAGCATAGTGATATTTTGTGAAGCAATGCTTCACTGCCTATCAACTAAATTGTCATAATCAACTAAACTGATAATCTTCCCTATTCTTGCTTCCATGGATAGCTTCTGAAAAGTAAGTAGGTATAGGGGCTGCCCCGTCTCATTTGTAAGCACTCCCAATGCAAAAAAAAAGATCAATTAGAATGGTGTATAGAGTAAGTGCTTGTGACGATATGTTTATGACATTTTTAGAAATAAGCGAAATTACTTTATTACGACAAATTAGTTGCAGCGTTGCGGTAGCTGTTACTTTTTTCCTTCAGTTTTGATTGAAGTGTGGTGTTTCACCATGATTATTCATCATCCACACGGCTTAGTATTTTTACGGTCTCCATCTAATACCGTCCACTGAATTTATCCAGCTTTCTTTGGCCGGAGGGACACTCTGTCGTAGCTTACCCACCCAGTGATGCGCTGGCCCCCAGCCGCGACCCGCGGGGGAGTCCAGCGGACTGTGATGACGTCACGGACCGGGCTGCCAGACTGGCCCGTCTGGCCGGCTGCCCTCGGACCGTGTCGGGTGTCGCCAACACTACTGCGATATGGCCGCACTCAGTCGGCAGCTGCTCACAATCTTACGGCAGTCCGCCGGAATGTGTCCGTCTGCCCATCACGGACTCCGTGCATAACTCGGCGTGCCGGGGAGCTCAGGAGAGACTGGTGGGGACGCAGCCCCTCGGGACTGGTCCGGACCGACCGTGACATGACGGCTGACGCTGTTAGCCGTCTCGGTTTTCCAGTCCGAAACGTTAGTAGGTTTGTGTTGTATGCGAGGTGTCAATGTAGGTATCCTACAAACTGACAGTGCTATATTTTTAGGAGTCCTGCCCTACGTCTTTTGAGCAGACGGTATCCCTGCAATTTGAAAACGTTAATAAGTTTACATTTACTGAATGTGTGGTGGCGTCGCCCGTTAATGTTAACAGGACTCCCTCCGCCGGTAGAAATCCCCCTGCTTTGGCAGCATTGTTACCGTGCCCGCGTAGATGGCAGCACGTGGGGGAGGGAAGTCGCGCGCCGCCCCCGGCACGGTCCGGGTAGGATCCGTGTAAACGTGTGATCGTGGATTGCGCAGCCAAGAATAAACCTGCCTAGAACCGCATAAGTCTCGCCAGTCGGCTCACGACACAACACTTGGCGACGAGGATCCCGGCGAGAGACGGCTGCTGGGCCGCGACTGGATGTCGGCCCTGAACATCAGCGCGAGTGGCGAGGCTGCAGTAGGTACTGACCGTCGGACCGGGCGGCATGGCCGCAGATCTGCAGGCGGTCTGTGATCGGCACGCGCCTGTGTTCGATGGCCGCCCGGGGCGGATCAAAGGGACCAAGGCGCACCTGGTCCTTAAACCCGACGCGCAGCCTGTGTCGAGGCCGGTACGTCTGCCTCCCTACGCGCTCAAACCAGCCGTGGAGCGGGAGCTGGACCGGTGGGTGGAAGCCGGTATAGCGGAGAAAATCGGACCAAACGACGCCCTGGGATGGGGCACTCCGCTGGTGACAGTCCCGCGTGCTGATGGAGGCATACGTTTGTGCGGAGACTACCGCCTGACGGTAAATCCGCAACTGCAGATGGCCACGCACCCGACGCCAACGCCGGAGGACATCTTCGCGAACGTCAGAGGACAGCAGTTCTGTAAACTCGACCTTAAGGACGCGTTCCTACAGCTGGAGCTCGAAGAGGAGTCGCGTGACATGACGACCGTGGTCACGCACCGAGGAAGGTACCGAATGCTCGCTCTGCCGTTCGGGATCTCGGCGTGCAGCTCAATTTTCCAATCAGCGATTGATCATATCCTGGATGGAATTGACGGCTGCGTGGCGTACCAGGATGACCTGCTCATCGCAGGCGCCGACCGGGTGGAGCTGGCGCAGCGGCTCGACCGAGTGCTGGCTCGCCTGGAGCAGCACGGGGTCAAACTGAAGCGAGAAAAGTGCCGCCTGGGACTCGATGAAGTGCAGTATCTCGGCTGGTGCATATCGGCGAACGGACTGCGGCCGGTGAAGGACAAGGTCCAAGCCGTGCTGGACATGCCGGACCCCAAGGACGTCAAGGCGCTGCGCAGCATCCTGGGTAGTATCACCTACTATCAGCGGCTGCTACCCAACCTGTCGACGCTGCTGGCGCCGCTCTACCGCCTGCTGCAGAAAGGGGTGCCGTGGGAATGGAGCGGCGAATGTCGACGCGCGCTGACTCAGGTCAGACAGCTCCTGGCAGGAGACACGGTACTCAAGCGGTACGAGCCGGAGGCGCCGCTCAAGCTGGTAACGGACAGCAGCGAGGTCGGAGTGGGAGCAGTACTGACACAGCCCGACGGCGAAGGACTGGAGCGCCCAATAATGTACGCCTCCCGCACACTCACCGGCACCGAGAGGAAGTACCCGATGGTGGAAAAGGAGGCTCTGGCGGTGTCATTCGCCGTCAAACGGTTCGGGCAGTTCCTCTATGGCCGACGATGGACTCTCGTCACGGATAACAGGGCGCTGTCGCGTATTCTCTGTCCCGAACGCGAGCTGCCGACCCTCGCTGCGGCGAGACTACAGAGGTACGCACTGCAGCTCGCAGCCTTCACGTACGACGTCGAGCTGAGACCTTCGGAGAACATGCATCTGGCTGACAGCCTGTCCCGCATGGCGGTGCCGGGGCGCCCCGCCGACGAGTCAGCGGAGGCCGAAGAGGACAACAGCGGCGGCTCTCACCTCCTATTCATGGACGGAGTGGCCCCCGTGCTCACGGCCGGACAGATCGCCACGGCGACGCGCCGAGACCGCCTGCTGTCGCGTGTCTTGACCTACACGCACAGCGGCTGGCCGGACCGAGTCGAGCCGGAGCTGGCCCCGTTCCAACGGCGACGGGAGGAGCTATCCACGGACATGGGCTGCCTGCTCTGGGGTGGCCGCACAGTGATTCCCCAGTGCCTCCGGCGGCAGGTGTTGGACGAGCTGCATGAAGGCCATCTCGGCAGCGCCAAGATGAAGGGAGTGGCGCGCAGATATGTCTGGTGGCCTAAAATGGACGCAGAGCTCGAGGCGATGGCGCGAGACTGCGCCGCGTGTATGGAGAAACGTGGCGCGCCGCCGAGAGCGGAGCTGCATCCGTGGGAACCGACAGACAGCTGTTGGTTCCGCGTGCATATTGACTTTGCGGGACCCTTTCAGGGAACGTCCTTCCTGATAGTGTACGACAGTTATTCGCGGTGGGTGGAGGCGGTGCCGATGCGTGACACGACGACGGAGAACACGGTGCGCGTGCTGCGTGAAATATTTGCGAGATTTGGACTGCCGGTACAGCTTGTGAGCGATAACGGACCTCAGCTGACCGCTGCTGCCTTCGAACAGTTTCTCCAGTCCAACGGCGTGCGTCACATCCGGACGGCGCCCTGGCACCCGAGCAGTAATGGTGCTGCTGAGCGCGCGGTGCAAACCATCAAAAACGCGCTAAAAGCTGCGGTGAGGGACGGCGGCACGCTGTCTCAGCGGCTGCAGCGTTTCCTGCTGGCGTATCGAGCGGCGCCACACGCCGTTACGGGCCGGTCGCCGGCGGAAATGTTCCTCGGGCGAAACGTACGGACAACCCTGGACCTGCTCAAGCCGGACGTGAGCGTGAGGCAGAGGGAGGAGAAACTCCGGCAGTGGCAGAGCGCTGGAGGACGGGACAGGCCGTTCGTGATCGGCGACCACGTCTGGACGCGGGCGTACGGCGGCGCTGCCAAGTGGAGGCGGGGCGTCATCATGGCCCGGACAGGCCCGCTGTCCTACGAAATCGACGTGGATGGCAGCGCCATTTGGTCCCGACACGCTGATCAGCTCCGTCATGCTGGCGCGCCCCGCGACCCCGACACGCCTGTCGATCCCAGTGCAGTCCCCGGACCCGGCGCAGTCGGCTGGCCGGGCGTGACACACGGCGGCGGCATCGTCAGCGGACGCGGCGCGGCCAGTGGGCCTGACGCTGTCGGTGGTACCGGTCAGCGGCAGCGGTTCGGGAGCTGCCAGGAGCCCGGACACGGTCCCGGTCAGCAGCGTCACGAGCAGCGGCCCGGTACCGGGGCGGCCGGCGGCTCAGGAGCGACCAGCAGCCCGGGCACGGGCACGGTCCCGGTCAGCAGCCGTACGGGCAGCGACCCGGTACCGGCCAGCGGCACCTGCACACCCGGCCGGTCTCCTGCAGACGGTAGACCCGGTACGGACGCCGGCAGCAGCGCCGACACCACTGGTCGGCCGGAAACAGACGGGGCGCCAGACTCGCCCAGAGTCGGCGAGGACAGAGACAGACAGCTGGGAACAGGAGACGGCGCCGGCGCGGCGGATCAGCCGGTAACTGCTGGCACACAAGCAGTGAACGCCGGAGCTGGGACCAGCACACGCGGCGGCCGCCGGTCCGGCAGGCGCCGGAAGGCAACCCGCCGACTTATAACGGAACTGTGACTGAAACGAACAGGTCGGATACTGTGAGCCAATCTTTGAGTGATTCTCTGTAACCTTACGGCCACGAATAGGTGAGGGGCAGCGATCTTTTGTTTCCACACCATGACTCCCCGGTGTCTTGAGAAGCTGGATTTTTTTTATTGTCGTTGCACTCTGAGATGTTCGTTACATCTTCGCATGGTGCCGGCCGTTCGATTTTAAGGAGGGCGATGCGTCGGGGAAACTGGCGTAAAGCAACTGTTTGTTAAGGTCGATGTCGATGTTTGATCTTTTGGGGTTGTGTTTTCGTACGCCGGCGGGATTAACGCTTTGTTTAGTTACAGGCCCGAACGCTGATGTGGTTACACCCATTTTAATTAAGGAGGGTAAGGTGTGGTGGCGTCGCCCGTTAATGTTAACAGGACTCCCTCCGCCGGTAGAAATCCCCCTGCTTTGGCAGCATTGTTACCGTGCCCGCGTAGATGGCAGCACGTGGGGGAGGGAAGTCGCGCGCCGCCCCCGGCACGGTCCGGGTAGGATCCGTGTAAACGTGTGATCGTGGATTGCGCAGCCAAGAATAAACCTGCCTAGAACCGCATAAGTCTCGCCAGTCGGCTCACGACACAACAGAATGTAATGCCACCAACAATAGCGTTTACATGTTTTTATTCGTTGTTGCAGCCGGGCGCGGAACTTCAGCGACAGCATGGACCTGGCGGAGCGGGTGTTCAGCGACGTCCGAATTCCGTCCGACTCGGAGGAGGCCCAGGCCGCCATCAAACAGCTCACCGACGTGAGTTACCTCCCTCTCACCCGCATCAAACAGCTCACAGCTGCGAGTTACCGGCCTCTCATCCTCCTTCTAACAGCTGATCGATTTGAGTTACCGGCCTCTTACCCTCCTTCTAACAGCTAACAGACGTGAGTTAACTACCAGCATCTCACAGCCCTGGCGAGACAAAAGCTAGCGATAATTACCCCCCCCCCCTCCCCCCCAAGTACGTAAACCATGCGCTGGAGAGCTGGATCTGCCAGTGGAATATGGACGAGCGCGGGTTGTGGTGCACGCCATGTTGAAATCTGACCCATGTTCTGTCCTGACGCCACTGCCCTGATGTGATGTCGCAGGTGAAGAAGGCGATGCTGGAGGCGTCGATGCTGACACTGCAGGAGGGCAACCAGTTGCTGGAGCAGCTGCGCCAGCTGGCTCTGCGAGGAACGATCGACTCCCGACCGAACCAGATCCGCACCACCGTCCAGACCGGTGAGATGTCCAGTCCTTTGGGCCTCTGGCTCGTGCGCGATCTTGAATCCATCCGATCTTTCGTAATTCGTATAGGCATATGTTGCATTCAGATACACCAGTGAAGCTTGGGTGCAATGCAGTCTATGTCCAATTTTTTTTTTTCCAATCGAGCTGGCACATTTATTCCCCTGCCGAACTGGCGTTAGTGAATTCGATAAATGCTTAAAATTTTGGTTGTGTGTAGCGAAGCAGTACTCACTCACGTACAACAATTGGCTTCGCAAACCCATGTTTTTCCTCGTGTTTGCAGCCTGTAGCCAGGTGGAGCGGTGGCTGGAGGAACTGCCCGTCTGACCGTGTGTTTGTGTGTGTGTCTGTGTGTCCAGCCTGTAGCCAGGTGGAGCGGTGGCTGGAGGAACTGCACGACCGACGCCGCTGTCTGGAGGTTCTCTTCAACAACCGGCGCACGATTCTGGACCAGTGCCGCGCGCTCTGCCAACTCTACACCGACCTGGGTAGGGCGCTCTTACATATTATCGCCGTCCATCGTCCTCTAACCTCGCGGTATTGCCGCTCATTGTTTTACCACCCCTCATATGATTTGTACATATTATATATAAAAAAAAATGTTATCCGTGAATTCTGAGGCACCGGATTATCAGTTTCAGTATTATTATCAGTAAATTCTTAACCCGCGCACCGACGGGGGGGGGGGGATATCCGCCCCCCCTGAGGTTTTTCGCGAATAGCGGGAAAACCGGCGCTACGCCGCGAAATTTGGTATGACTATTACCTCATCAATTTTACACATGGTGTGCAAGTTTGAACCTCCTACCTATTAAGGTCAGGTCACCAGGTCACTTTGAATGACCCAACCTCAAGTCACTTTTTTGCAACTTTGTCACCGTGCCAGAGCTACAGTAGATGTCGGAGGCCTTTGAAAGTCGCAGGATGTTATTAGGTCATTAGAAGCTACAATTTGTATATCTCGGAATTTTGATATCGGTGACCTAAGGTCAGGTCAATTTCGCGACCTCCCCATTATAAGTCAATGGGGGAAAAATCAACTCCCTGTTTTTACCACTAAAACGGGTCGGAATGGCCCCATATACCATGCATGACTTCATATACGATCAACCTTCACTACCTTGAGGTCTGTTTTGCTGTTGGGCAGCTGTGAGGTCATGTGACGTCATCAAAGGTCACCAAAGGTTTTTGGCCAATAACTCCGTGCAGGAACAAGATACAGACGCGTGGATGGTCTCATTGTGTTCAGCTCGTCAAGACGCATCGAATGATATACATGATGACCTCGAGGTCACGTGACCTGAGGTCAACCTTTGACCTTGACCTTTCGAGGTCAACATATATATCATTCGATGCGGATTGACGAGAGGATCACGATGATGCCCTTAGTTTGTTCCTATCTTGACTAATTCGAAAGTTATTCGAGAAAAACTCTCTCCATATCTAGCGCCGCCATTTTGACTTTTTTCGACCCCTGTGACGTCATCTTTGACCTGACCTGAAAATGACCTTAGTAAAAATTGTAGATCTTGACCGTGTGTATCCAATGCCGTTTACCGCTTGTCGCTATCTTGCTTCGTTTTCGAGATCTCAGGGGGGGGGCGGTCATCCGCCCCCCCCCCCCCGTCGGTGCGAAGTTGGCGCAGACCCCCGTCGGTGCGCGGGCTAACATTTGAGTCTGCTAAGTTACGTTTTTATCGTTTGAAATTGGAAACATTCCTTTGGTGGTATTGTTGACCCGACCTGTCGAGGTGTTGGCCCGGTGTACCCTCAGATGGCGTCCAGCACTGTTGACCTGACCGGCGCGCCGTGTCCCCAGGCGGTGTCCAGAAGCGGGCAGAGCTGGTCAGGAGGCAGCTGGCCGCCGGCTGCCAGCTGGGCGCGTCCGCTCACGCCGCCGACCTGCTGCTGCACGAACACTCCAAAATCGAACTGGAGGCCAAGGTAGGACCGCGGTGCCGCCCGCCCTCTGTGCCCCCCCCCCCCCTGTGGTATGTGCATGACGTGTCGTCCACGTCAGTAGCCGTGGAGTTCCGTCACGAAAATGGACCAACAGCCGATACATCTCTTTTTTGCGACGAAAATATGTATGATGCTCATTTAGATACCTGTGTAGTTATGTATTTTACAGGCCTAGGCGCCGTATAAATGGAGTGCTGAGCTCGGTCGCCATTTGCCGCCCTCGGGCTGTGTTCATTCTATCGTATCCCACACACTGTAAGCCATGACGATTGACGGACGATTCGACTGTACGAGTGTTTATGCTCTCCTCACACTCCGCCCACCACCTCCCTCCTCCCCTCTCTCTCCCTCCCACTGACTCCCCCTCCCCCTCCCAGGCGCTGCAGGACCGGGCGCTGGCGCTGCTCCCTTCCCCGCTGACTCTCTTCCCCTCCCCTCCCAGGCGCTGCAGGACCGGGCGCTGGCGCTGCTCCCTTCCCCCACTGACTCCCCCTCCCCTCCCTCTCCCAGGCGCTGCAGGACCGGGCGCTGGCGCTGCTCCCTTCCCCCACTGACTCCCCCTCCCCCTCCCAGGCGCTGCAGGACCGGGCGCTGGCGCTGCTGCGCTCTGCCGAGGCGCTGGTCCGCGCCGACACATACGCCCGCCACGAGCCGGCCACCCGCGCCTACGCCGTGCTGGAGATCTGCAGCCAGCTGATGGAGCTGGCCGAGCGGCGGCGCGGCCTGCTCACCGGCGCCGCCCAGTTCTTCGACCAGGCGCAGAAGGTTCGGCCGAGGAAATGAATGGGGAGGGTGTGGGATAGTAAGTGAAGGCTGAGAGACGGGCTAAAGGACAGAATAACAGAGGTCGCCGCCGCCTCTTCTGACCGTGCCGCTGCCTCTGCTGACCGCCCGCTGTCTCTGTCTGTCAGGCCTGCGATCAGCTGGACCGGATGGAGGAGGCGCTGCGCGCCGCGCCGGCCGCCGAGCGGGCGCTGGTGCACGCGCAGACGGCCGAGTCTCTGCGCTCCGCCGGCGAGCCGGCCGCGCGGCTGGGTAACCAGCTGCTGGACCTGGCCGGCCGCGGCGCCGACGGAACAGAGGTGGGACGGGGTGACGGCATGGACGGTTAGGTGCTGCGCTGGGAGACGCTGATCACTGGTCCTGATGGCTGGGAGTGGGGAGGGTCAGTGGTCGGGTCGGTGCCTTTTTTCTAGTCCAATATGCCACCCCATACCGCACTGGCGACCCCATGTGACCCCACTCTCCCTCCCTCAGGGTGTGTCCGAGTGTCTGGAGACGCTGCAGCGTCGGCTGGAGGCGCTCGAGCAGCTCTGCACCGCACACAAGGAGGAGAGCCTGCGGCAGACGCAGCTGTACAACGACTTCCTCGAAAAGTACAACACGGTGAGCTATTAGTGGTCGGCCTCGGATGCCAGTGTATCGACTGCACTGGTATAGTATGTGTACCTCCTTTTGTTACTACATCGTGTTAACAATTGTGTCTATCGTTTCTGTTTGTCCATTGTCTGTGCAGTGTGCATGTGGTCGACCCATATACCATAGTTGCCCCCGCCCAGTGTCATTAACCGTCCCAATTTGGTCTCATCCCGGTAATTGCCGAGCGGTGTCGGTGCGTGTCGGGGGACCGTTTGTCCTCCGATCGCGTGCCTCCCGTCCTGCCGCCGACCGGCCGCAGTGGGTCCTCCAGGTACGGTCCCGGCAGTCGGGAGTCGCCGGCCCGTGACAGGGACATCTGTTATATCAGCATTAGACTCGCGTCGGATCCCTGTCAGACAGTCGCTAAACTCGTGTTGTTACATCGCTGTTAGGTACTCCTTTCACATCACTCTACGGTGGTAGTTGTCTCAGGGTGTGCCCATATGGTCGGGCAGAAACACACGTTATTCCTAAGACCACCATCTAAATGTCGATGCGTTGCAGCCTGATATGAAACAAGTTTTTTGTGACGATACCTAATGTCAGTGTCCGTGTCTCCCCTCTGACCTGCCTGCTCCTTCCTCCTCTGACAGCTGTTCGGCTGGATGGTGGGCGAGGCAGAGACCTTCCTTCGGACGCACACCGACCCTGGCCAGGCGCTGGAGCCGGCCAACACCTTCTCTCAGCTGCACCAGCACATGCAGCACGACGTCGAGGTCAGTCGCGGAACGGCGCGCGCTGGAGCGGGCGGACGAACGGATAGACGGACGGACGGGGGTTCGTCCGCCACCCATTTATAGTTCGTTTTTTATTTAATATGTTACCCGACATTTAGTATCTGGTCCCCCGTGTGAATTGACCTGACCTGACCTGACCTGTGTCCCAGGCGCGCGGCCGTGACATGGAGGCCCTCCTGGACTCTGTATGACCTGACCTGACCTGACCTGTGTCCCAGGCGCGCGGCCGTGACATGGAGGCCCTGCTGGACTCTGTGTGACCTGGTCTGACCTGACCTGACATGACCTGACCTGCTGTCTGTCTCAGGTGCGCGGCCGTGACATGGAGGCCCTGCTGGACTCTGTGTGACCTGGTCTGACCTGACCTGTGTTCCAGGCCCGCGGCCGTGACATGGAGGCCCTGCTGGACTCTGTGTGACCTGATCTGACCTGACCTGTATCCCAGGCCCGCGGCCGTGACATGGAGGCTCTGCTGGACTCTGTACCGGCCCTGTCGGAGCAGCTGGGCGCCGAGAGAGCGGCCGACCTCCAGCGGAAGGCCGAGGACATGCGCGCCCAGTGGAACAGCATCTACAGAATCATCAGTGAGTGGCGCTCTCAGACACACCTATTTTCCGGCATAATACCAGACAAACAAATACAGGTGTCGCGAAACTTTGAGAGTGCCGGCGGATATCCGGTCCCGCTCGCCCTTCCCCTGTGTAACAGTCAGTGTCTGTGGTCGCCAGGCCCCCGGCAGGAGCTGCTGCGGCCGTACGGCCAGTTCCACCAGCGGGCGGTGTGGGCCTCCCTCCCCTGTGTAACAGTCAGTGTTTGTGGTCACCAGACTCCCGGCAGGAGGTGCTGCGGCCGTACGGCCAGTTCCACCAGCGGGCCGAGCAGCTGCAGCGGACGCTGGACGAGCTGCGCGCTGCGCTGGACGGACGGCCGCTGACCGAGGACGACATCGCACTGGTGGAGACCCGCTGGCCAGGCATGCAGCAGCAGTACCACCAGCTGGCCGACGCCGGAAAGGCCTTCGTCGACATGGCGCAAAACGTGAGAACGGTGTCATTTGCTTGAAATTATGTATCGTGTAAGTGGAGAGAATTGAAGGGTTTAGGTGCTCTCTGCTCGCTCTGTGTTTGCTATGTTTCCGCTCAATGCAGTATGTATTTTGCTTAAATACGCCGAACGCTTTGGACGCTGCTCTTTGAATGACTGTTTTTGAGTTGACTCTTCCTGTCTGTCCAGTGCAAGGACCCGTACCTGGACGCGCGGCTGGCAGTAACTGACCTCGGGCCCTCCCCCTGTCTGTCCAGTGCAAGGACCCGTGCCTGAACGCGCGGCTGGCAGTAACTGACCTCGAGCCCTCCCCCTGTCTGCCCAGTGCAAGGACCCGTGCCTGGACGCGCGGCTGGCAGTAACTGACCTCGAGCCCTCCCCCTGTCTGTCCAGTGCAAGGACCCGTACCTGGACGCGCGGCTGGCAGTAACTGACCTCGAGCCCTCCCCCTGTCTGTCCAGTGCAAGGACCCGTACCTGGACGCGCGGCTGGCAGTAACTGACCTCGAGCCCTCCCCCTGTCTGTCCAGTGCAAGGACCCGTGCCTGAACGCGCGGCTGGCAGTAACTGACCTCGAGCCCTCCCCCTGTCTGTCCAGTGCAAGGACCCGTACCTGGACGCGCGGCTGGCAGTAACTGACCTCGAGCCCTCCCCCTGTCTGTCCAGTGCAAGGACCCGTGCCTGAACGCGCGGCTGGCAGTAACTGACCTCGAGCCCTCCCCCTGTCTGCCCAGTGCAAGGACCCGTGCCTGGACGCGCGGCTGGCAGTAACTGACCTCGAGCCCTCCCCCTGTCTGTCCAGTGCAAGGACCCGTACCTGGACGCGCGGCTGGCAGTAACTGACCTCGAGCCCTCCCCCTGTCTGTCCAGTGCAAGGACCCGTACCTGGACGCGCGGCTGGCAGTAACTGACCTCGAGCCCTCCCCCTGTCTGTCCAGTGCAAGGACCCGTACCTGGACGCGCGGCTGGCAGTAACTGACCTCGAGCCCTCCCCCTGTCTGTCCAGTGCAAGGACCCGTACCTGGACGCGCGGCTGGCAGTAACTGACCTCGAGCCCTCCCCCTGTCTGTCCAGTGCAAGGACCCGTGCCTGGACGCGCGGCTGGCAGTAACTGACCTCGAGCCCTCCCCCTGTCTGTCCAGTGCAAGGACCCGTACCTGGACGCGCGGCTGGCAGTAACTGACCTCGAGCCCTCCCCCTGTCTGTCCAGTGCAAGGACCCGTGCCTGGACGCGCGGCTGGCAGTAACTGACCTCGAGCCCTCCCCCTGTCTGGCCAGTGCAAGGACCCGTGCCTGGACGCGCGGCTGGCAGTAACTGACCTCGAGCCCTCCCCTGTCTGCCCAGTGCAAGGATCCGTACCTGGACGCGCGGCGCGCCTGCCTCTGCGTGGAGTCCATCCTGGAGCACCTGCGCGCCGACCAGCTGAAGGTCACCGAGACGTACGAGCGCGTCCAGCTGAGTATGAGCACGGCGCGCCAGCTGCAGCGCGACTGGGAGACGTGCGCGCGGGACTCCAAACAGGTGCGGGCGGAACGGGAGAGAGGGCTGGGAGGGGAGGGATAGGTGGGGTGCGGAACTCCTCGTCATATTTGAAGACATTTACCGATATTCTTTTTCAGACGATGATAATGCCCTGGTGTGTCCCGCTGTCCCGCCTTTTATGACAGCGTCCCTCCCCTAGCTCCGCTGATAATCGCGCCGTGTCTCTCCCGCCGTCAGACTCTGGAGAGCGCCTCGCGCCTGCTCGGTGAGCTGTTCCCTGTGCTGCGCGACCCGCCCCGGCCGGCCCGGGAGCGCGGCAGCCAGTGCCAGCAGGCGGTGCAGGAGCACGTGCCGCAGCTGGAGCGGCTCAGACAGGAGCTGGAGCAGCGCGCCAGGAGCGCCGAGAAACTGCGGGACGCAGGTGCGGAGCGGAGAGCGAGGGCGGCTGCGGTAAAACAGCGGTGATAAAGGGGGGGGGGGGTAGATCACTCTTTTTAATCAACCGCTTTAATCAACCGTCAGCAGCGCCTGTCAGTCTCGTTACCCCCAGTGGTCCCCCGCAGGTGACACTTTCTGTTACCCTCAGTTCCCTTATGTCCGGCAGACACGGGCGGCGAGGCCGACCGGCTGGCGCAGCAGCTGAGCCGCCAGCGCGATCACGTGACCACCGTCACCACCGAGTACCAGATGACGCTACAGATGATGCAGACCTACTTCAAAAACGTCGCAGAGGTACGAACGAGACGTGAATTGCCTCATCTGTGTGGAAATGCTGCTCCATTATTACGACTTTTGAGGATCTCAGTGATTTGCAAATAGTGGAGTTAGTAATTATCTACGGTATATTTCGCTAAAATCGCTGCTATATTGACGTCCGTTAACAGGCAAAGCTGGAGCTCTTCCATCTTCTGTATGTTGTCATAATATTCATTTTGATGGTACAAGTGGGCAGGCTACAGTCCTAATATACCATTCTATGCCGTATGTACCGTATATACCTCACTGTTCGGCATATACCTCGTCTTTGACACCCTCGCCCGTCTCTGCTCACTCACCAGCTGGACTCTGGCATTGAGAAGCAGCGCTCCACGTACCAGAGCGAGCCGCTGCCGAGCGCTCCGGCCGACTGCCAGCAGCGCCTCCAGGAGCTGGAGTCCAGCCGGCGCGCCTTCCAGGAGCTCTTCAGGTGGGCCACCGCTACCGGCCTCTGTAGGACGAATGTTTGTGGGTAGTGCTTGAACGGGTGGGTGTTCATATAGGCGAGCCTTTCCGTGAGGTCGCTTTCATCAAGCGGTAGCACTTTAAGGGGAGTTGGGCCGTGTTGACCTGACTATTTGCCACCAGGTTTGCTAACTGCTGGCAGCGAGCTAGCGAAGCTGGAGCGGCTAGAGCGATGCGGTAGGGACATTGTTGACGCATATTTCGTCCTTCTCCCACCAGGTTCGCCGGCGGCAAGCTGGAGCGGCTGGAGGAATACGATAGGAGCATTGTTGACGCATAGTTCATCTTTCTCCCACTAGATTCGCTGGCGGCGAGCTTGAGCGGCTGGAGAGTGTGATAGGGATATTATTGACACGTAGTTCGTCCTTTTCCCACTAGGTTCGCTGGCGGCGAGCTGCAGCGGCTGGAGGAGTACGATAGGGACATTGTTGACGCATAGTTCTTCTTTCTCCCACTAGGTTCGCTGGCGGCGAGCTGGAGCGGCTGGAGAGTGTGATAGGGAGGGATATTATTGACGCGTAGTTCTTCTTTCTCCCACCAGGTTCGCTGGCGGCGAGCTGGAGCGGCTGGAGGAGCGCGTCCACCAGGTGGAGCCGCCGGCGGCCGCCGCTCAGGACATCAGGGAGCTGCGCTCGGCTCTGGACACGCAGACGGTGAGGCGCGGCCGCAGCGGCTGTCCGGGGGGCTGCTTCGCTGTGCTAATTACAGTCATTCATCTAGGGAACACTCGGAAGTCTGAACGAAATCAATTTTGTATGCAAATGGTCAAAATAGTCTATGAGCCGCACTCGGATCTTTTTTGTCAATGTTTTCCAATTTTCCGCCTCTTCTTTCGTCGCACACCATTACCGCTTATTTCGCCCCTCCCCTACCGCCCGTTCCTCAGACCAAGTGTGAGCAGACGTGGAGCTCTCGCCGGGAGCAGCTGGAGCGCCAGGCCGCCTCCACGGCCTTCAACTCTGAGCTGGGAGCCATTAACGGCCAGCTGGCAGAGCTGAGCTCCCAGCTGGACACCATGAGGGGGCAGTACGGGGAGACGCGCCGGGAGGCCGAGCAGACCAGCCGCGCCTTCCGCAACTTCGAGGACACCATATCGGTCAGTGACGGGACACCATATCGGTCAGTGACGGGACACCACATCGGTCAGTGACGGGACACCATATCGGTCAGTGACGGGACACCATATCGGTCAGTGACGGGACACCACATCGGTCAGTGACGGGACACCATATCGGTCAGTGACGGGACACCATATCGGTCAGTGACGGGACACCATATCGGTCAGTGACGGGACACCATATCGCTCAATGACTGTCGGAGAGTTTCCGTGACATTGACCGATTGCGTACGTACTATCTCTGCGTAGGTATTGCCTCTATGCTATCCGATACGATCCATGGCTCACGCCTACCGTGGGTACATTTTTTATACGTGTGACCATGTTTCTGCAAGAACAATAACCTGAGACTCTCTCTCTCTCTCTCTCTCTCTCTCTCTCTCTCTCTCTCTCTCTCTCTCTCTCTCTCTCTCTCTCTCTCTCTCTCTGCCTTTTGCAGAACACGGGTAGTCAGATCCAGAGTTTCGTCAGCACGGCGGAGGGGTTCCTCGGCGGGACGCCAGAGCCGGAGCGGGTCCATCTGGAGCTGGAGACGGTGCAGAACAAGTGGTCCTCCTTCCACCGGCAGGTCGGCGACAACCGGAAGCTGATCGACCTCTCCATCCAGTACTTCAAACTGGTCGAGGAGGTGAGAGGACCGGGGACGGAGGGGACGTTGGAACATGGGTAGGGAGAGCAGCGTGTGACTAACACCTGTGACAGGAATGTGACTCGATTTTGTATGTTTCTTTAGTTATGACCGACATTATGATCCCCATTAATGCTGATTGCTGTAATTAGTGAGTGGCTTGAACACATCAGCCCTGCTAGTTTCGCGTGATTATATTGTCATATCTCGGTCCCACTGACGGCACCTGACCGGCTGGGTTATTGTGTGGCGCAGTCTGAGGACTGGTACAAGGAGGGCGGCAAACTGCTGGTGGACATCGCCCGAAAGACCACCCAGATCCGCTCGCCAGAGGAGGCCCAGCGGCTTAGGACCGAGATCAACCTGTTCCTCTCGCCGGGCGAGCAGCGCCAGGAGGAGCGGCTCAGGACCATCTCCGTGATGGCCGAGCAGCTGTATGGTGAGAGGGAGAGAAGGAGGGGTCTGGCTGATTAGCTAACTCTCTGACTAAGAGGACGGTTTCGTTCTCTGTATGCTGGTTCTCGCTTGGACGTCAGACTGGTGCCAGTGTGACCGTTGGTCGCATTCCCTCAGGCACCCCGCAGCCGGAGCGTGTACAGACGGTGACGCAGCAGCACCGCGACATGGTGGACTCTCTGACCACGGTCCGCCACGAGCTGCAGCGGCTCGTCGAGAAGCTGGAGCAGGCCGACTCGGAGCGGGAGCAGCTGCGCCGCCACAACGACCAGCTGGCCGTCGACATGAGGGCCGCGCAGCAGGTCAGACGGCACGGCCGGAGGCGGAGCGGAGGAAGGGACCGGTGGGCAGCGTGACCGGTGTCAGGCTCGATAGTAGGATGTTCGTGGCTTGATATGTTCGTTGTCGCACAGTTTTAACTCGGTATACGCCCGGCGTTAACCTCCATGCTGCACTGCACCCCACCCTGTCCCTCCACTGATCCGGTCCGTTTCCCCGGCGGCCGGCAGGAGGCTGATGCGGCGCGCGCCGCCGCCTCGGCTGCCGAGGAGGCGCGCCGCGCGGCGGAGGCGGCCGCGCTGGCGCTGCAGGAGATGCCGCGGCCCATCACGCCGCTGGTCGTACCCAAGGTGGACGTCTGCACTGAGACACTCACAGAGGTCACCAAGGTATGTACTGCGGCGGGAGGCCGGGCGGTGGGGTCAGTGGTGAACACCGGGCCAGTGACAAAGATGCGTCACTTTGCCGAGCTGCTTAGCAATGGACAGCGGTGACAGACCAGAATGAATAAGGCGCGCACTGAGTGTCATCTGCTGGCAGCTCTATCACTCTGTCTCTTGGTCACACAGTTTACATAAATGGCATCGTCTGTCTGTTCCCACCCGTCTCACCGCTGACCTGTGTGTTCGTGCCGCCCCAGGTGACGGTGGACAGGTACACCCAGGGCGTCCCTGTCGGTACGGCCGACGCGGCCACCCAGCAGGCGGCAGTGCACACGGCCGACGCCGGCACGCAGCAGGCGGCCGTCGGCACCGCGGACGCCGCCACGCAGGAGATCCCGGCCACCTCGGACGCCGCCACTCAGGAGATGGCCGTCGGCACGGCCGACGCGTCCACGCAGCGCGCCACGGCCGCCACCGCCGACGCCTGCACGCAACAGATCGCGGTGGGCACCTCCGACGCGGCGACCCAAGAGATCCCCGTGGGGACGTCGGACGCCGCCACGCAGAAGGTGTCGCTCGGCACGGATGCGGCCACCCAAAAGGTGTCTTTCGGCACGGACGTGTCGACTCAGAACGTGGCCCTGGTGGCGGACGTGTCCACGCAGAAGGTGTCGGCCGGGACGGACGCCTCCACGCAGGACCTCCCCGTGAGCACCTCGGACGCGGCCACGCAGAAGGTCTCCAGCGGCACAGACGCCGCCACGCAGAAAATCACCATGGGAACCGACGCTTCAACCCAGAACGTCACTGTTGGCACTGACGCCTCCACGCAGAACACGACAGTGGGAACGGATGTCTCTACACAGAAAATCACCATGGGGACGGACGCCTCGACCCAGGACTCCACGTCGGCGGCGGACGCGGCCACCCAGAACGAAACGGCGGCTACGGACGCGGCCACTCAGAAGGTGACTCTGGCGGCGGACGCCTCGACTCAGGAGAGCGGCGTCTCGGTGGTGGACGCCGGCACGGAGCCGTGCCTCACGGACCCGCCCCCGGAGGTGCCGGCCGCCGAGGAGCCGGTGACGGCCGCCCGCCGGCCGCGCTCCGCCCAGCCGCCGCCACCGCCGGCCGCTCCGCTCGTACCGCCCGTGTTCACGGTTCCCCTGACGGACCGCACCGTACCGGAGGGCGAACGGCACGTGCTGCAGGCCCGGTACGTACCCGGGGCGGGGTGGGGCGTCTTGGCGAGGGTGGATATCGGCAATGACAAGTGGCTATCGTTCATACATGGCTTACTTTTACTGACCCCAGCGGCTGCTCCCGCCCCCCTCCTCTGTCCATTCTGACTGTACCTCCCTCTGTTATACAGTGTGTCCGGAGAGCCGGCCCCGACCGTCACCTGGCACAAGGACGGCCGGCCGTGCGGCGCCAACTCGGAGTACGAGCTGAGCCGCACGGCCGACGGCCTGTGCTCGCTGCTCATCGAGGAGACCCTGGTCGAGGACAGCGCCGTGTTCACGTGCCGCGCCGAGAACGCCGCCGGGGTGGCCGAGACCAGCGGCCGGCTCACCGTCCGCGGTACGGCACCGGGAGAGCCGGGGGATGGGGGCAGGGTGGGCTGGGGAGAGGAGAGGTGGGGTGCGACTCTGGGGCGCCTGATACATGGCTATTCCTCACGCGAGTCTGATGTTATTTTTCTGCTGCGGCGGCAGAGCTGGAGCGCGGCCAGTCGCCGGCGTTCAGCCGCCCGCTGCGCGACCTGCGGGTGGAGCCGGGCCGTCCGCTGGTGCTGCACGCCACCGTGTCCGGCTCGCCGACACCGCAGGTCAGCTGGCTGCACAACGGCGCCAGCGTGGACGCCGACCGCCGCTACCTGACCACCGTCAACAACGGCCAGTGCACGCTGCGCGCCGAGGCGGCCGAGCCGCGCGACCAGGGCGTCTTCGTGTGCCGCGCCGCCAACGCGCTCGGCTTCGACCAGACCTCGGCCACCGTCCGCATCCAGAGTGAGTGCTCCCTCAGCCGGGGAGGGCGGGTGCAGGATAAGGCACTGCAGGAAAACTGACACGCTCTATTGATTGGATCGTTCTGGGGTTTGTAAAACGCTGACCTGCACCTGAATAGCACCCTGCTTGCGTTCACCCATCTCGTCTCATCCACCTGCCCCGAGCTGACTGACCCTCGCCCTCGCTCTGGTCGGCAGCGCGCGTGCCGTACGAGAAGCCCCAGTTCTGCAGTCCGCTGAGTAACGTCATGGCGCGCACCGGCCAGAAGCTGCGGCTCGAGTGTGAGGTCACCGGTCTGCCGCACCCGGAGCTGAGCTGGCTGCACAACGGACGGCCCGTGCAGGAGGGACGCGACACACGGGTCAGTGGCGGGAGGGACGGGACACCCGGGTCAGTGGCGGGAGGGACGAGACACCCGGGTCAGTGGCGGGAGGGACGAGACACCCAGGTCAGTGGCGGGAGGGACGAGACACCCGGGTCAGTGGCGGGAGGGACGAGACACCCAGGTCAGTGGCGGGAGGGACGAGACACACGGGTCAGTGGCGGGAGGGACGAGACACCCGGGTCAGTGGCGGGAGGGACGAGACACCCGGGTCAGTGACGGGAGGGACGAGACACCCGGGTCAGTGGCGGGAGGGACGAGACACCCGGGTCAGTGGCGGGAGGGACGAGACACCCGGGTCAGTGGCGGGAGGGACGAGACACCCAGGTCAGTGGCGGGAGGGACGAGACACACGGGTCAGTGGCGGGAGGGACGAGACACCCGGGTCAGTGGCGGGAGGGACGAGACACACGGGTCAGTGGCGGGAGGGACGAGAAACCCGGGTCAGTGGCGGGAGGGACGAGACACCCGGGTCAGTGGCGGGAGGGACGAGACACCCGGGTCAGTGGCGGGAGGGACGAGAAACCCGGGTCAGTGGCGGGAGGGACGAGACACCCGGGTCAGTGGCGGGAGGGACGAGACACCCGGGTCAGTGACGGGAGGGACGAGACACCCGGGTCAGTGGCGGGAGGGACGAGACACCCAGGTCAGTGGCGGGAGGGACGAGACACCCGGGTCAGTGGCGGGAGGGACGAGACACCCAGGTCAGTGGCGGGAGGGACGAGACACACGGGTCAGTGGCGGGAGGGACGAGACACACGGGTCAGTGGCGGGAGGGACGAGACACCCGGGTCAGTGGCGGGAGGGACGAGACACCCGGGTCAGTGGCGGGAGGGACGAGATACACGGGTCAGTGGCGGGAGGGACGAGACACACGGGTCAGTGGCGGGAGGGACGAGACACCCGGGTCAGTGGCGGGAGGGACGCGACACACGGGTCAGTGGCGGGAGGGACGAGACACCCGGGTCAGTGGCGGGAGGGACGAGACACCCGGGTCAGTGGCGGGAGGGACGAGACACCCGGGTCAGTGACGGGAGGGACGAGACACACGGGTCAGTGGCGGGAGGGACGAGACACACGGGTCAGTGGCGGGAGGGACGAGACACCCGGGTCAGTGGCGGGAGGGACGAGACACCCGGGTCAGTGACGGGAGGGACGAGACACACGGGTCAGTGGCGGGAGGGACGAGACACCCGGGTCAGTGGCGGGAGGGACGAGACACCCGGGTCAGTGGCGGGAGGGACGAGACACACGGGTCAGTGGCGGGAGGGACGAGACACCCGGGTCAGTGACGGGAGGGACGAGACACACGGGTCAGTGGCGGGAGGGGTACCACACCCGGGTCAGTGGCGGGAGGGACGAGACACCCGGGTCAGTGGCGGGAGGGACGAGACACCCGGGTCAGTGGCGGGAGGGACGAGACACCCGGGTCAGTGACGGGAGGGACGAGACACACGGGTCAGTGGCGGGAGGGACGAGAAACACGGGTCAGTGGCGGGAGGGACGCGACACACGGGTCAGTGGCGGGAGGGACGAGACACCCGGGTCAGTGACAGGAGGGACGAGACACACGGGTCAGTGGCGGGAGGGACGAGACACACGGGTCAGTGGCGGGAGGGACGAGGCACCCGGGTCAGTGGCGGGAGGGACGAGAAACCCGGGTCAGTGGCGGGAGGGACGAGACACCCGGGTCAGTGGCGGGAGGGACGAGACACCCGGGTCAGTGGCGGGAGGGACGAGACACACGGGTCAGTGGCGGGAGGGACGAGACACCCGGGTCAGTGACGGGAGGGACGAGACACACGGGTCAGTGGCGGGAGGGGTACCACACCCGGGTCAGTGGCGGGAGGGACGAGACACCCGGGTCAGTGGCGGGAGGGACGAGACACCCGGGTCAGTGGCGGGAGGGACGAGACACCCGGGTCAGTGACGGGAGGGACGAGACACACGGGTCAGTGGCGGGAGGGACGAGAAACACGGGTCAGTGGCGGGAGGGACGCGACACACGGGTCAGTGGCGGGAGGGACGAGACACCCGGGTCAGTGACAGGAGGGACGAGACACACGGGTCAGTGGCGGGAGGGACGAGACACACGGGTCAGTGGCGGGAGGGACGAGGCACCCGGGTCAGTGGCGGGAGGGACGAGAAACCCGGGTCAGTGGCGGGAGGGACGAGACACCCGGGTCAGTGGCGGGAGGGACGAGACACCCGGGTCAGTGGCGGGAGGGACGAGAAACCCGGGTCAGTGGCGGGAGGGACGAGACACCCGGGTCAGTGGCGGGAGGGACGAGACACCCGGGTCAGTGGCGGGAGGGACGAGACACCCGGGTCAGTGGCGGGAGGGACGAGACACCCGGGTCAGTGGCGGGAGGGACGAGACACCCGGGTCAGTGACGGGAGGGACGAGACACCCAGGTCAGTGACGGGAGGGACGAGACACCCGGGTCAGTGGCGGGAGGGACGCGACACACGGGTCAGTGGCGGGAGGGACGAGACACCCGGGTCAGTGGCGGGAGGGACGAGACACCCGGGTCAGTGGCGGGAGGGACGAGACACCCGGGTCAGTGGCGGGAGGGACGAGACACCCGGGTCAGTGGCGGGAGGGACGAGACACCCGGGTCAGTGGCGGGAGGGACGAGACACCCGGGTCAGTGACGGGAGGGACGAGACACCCAGGTCAGTGACGGGAGGGACGAGACACCCGGGTCAGTGGCGGGAGGGGTACCACACCCGGGCCAGTCACAAGAGAGGCGGGGCGCACGGGACAGTGTGGGGTCTGAGGGGCACTCTACCCGGGTCAGTGGGGTCTTGAATTTAAACGAGGTCACTTATCCGTCTCAGGAAATCTCCAATGCCTGGAACTGTCTTAGCGACTTTGGAAACTTCCGATTCTGTGTAGTGTGTCAATGTGTTTGACCGCTGCCGTCCTGTGACCTCAGGTGACCTTTGACGGCCGTCGCGCCACGCTCACCATCCCGGAGGCGTTCCCCAAGGACGCCGGGACGTACGTCATCGTGGCCAAAAACGAGGCCGGCGAGGCCAGCTGCCAGTGCCACGTCTCCGTCAAGGTACGAGTCAGTGTGGCAGTGTCACGTTTGTCAGGGTAAGCAGCCTGTTTTTGTGAGTCTGGCAGTCAATGGTACCCAGGCAAGATGGTGATACTTGTCACAAGTTGGTTTTCACCGAATGTACTGCATGGCCTAGTTTTTACGTGGTCTGAGTATTTGATAATTAGTGACACTGACATCCAGGATCCTTTTGTCGCTCCAAACAACTAAACTCTATCGTTTCCACCCTCGGCAGGGCCGTCTGCCGACCGAGACGTCCGACTCGGAGTTTGCCAGTGACGCGGAGCCGGTGAAGCCGTGTGTCGAGGTGCAGCTGCGAGACCTGACTGTGGAGCGCGGCCAGCGCGCGCAGCTCGACTGCGTCATCACCGGCCAGCCAGAGCCAGAGGTACGGGGAGGGGGGGGGGGGGTAACTGAAACACTGACCATGGGGCAGCCCGAGCCCGGGGTACGGCGGGACTTAAACCAGCCCGAGCCTGATGTACGGGAGTACTGCGGGAGGCTGGATATTTCTGGGTGAGAATGCACTCTGGACAGCCGTAGTATCTGCCCCTCGGACAGGTGATTTGGTACCTGCTGTAGTACCGACCCTCTCTGTCTGACAGGTGATTTGGTACCACGGCGAGCTGCCGGTGAAGGAGTCGTGCGACTACCAGCTGCTGTAGTACCGACCCTCTCTGTCTGACAGGTGATTTGGTACCACGGCGAGCTGCCGGTGAAGGAGTCGCGCGACTACCAGCTGCTGTAGTACCGACCCTCTCTGTCTGGCAGGTGATTTGGTACCACGGCGAGCTGCCGGTGAAGGAGTCGTGCGACTACCAGCTGCTGTAGTACCGACCCTCTCTGTCTGACAGGTGATTTGGTACCACGGCGAGCTGCCGGTGAAGGAGTCGCGCGACTACCAGCTGCTGTAGTACCGACCCTCTCTGTCTGGCAGGTGATTTGGTACCACGGCGAGCTGCCGGTGAAGGAGTCGCGCGACTACCAGCTGCTGTAGTACCGACCCTCTCTGTCTGGCAGGTGATTTGGTACCACGGCGAGCTGCCGGTGAAGGAGTCGCGCGACTACCAGCTGCTGTAGTACCGACCCTCTCTGTCTGACAGGTGATTTGGTACCACGGCGAGCTGCCGGTGAAGGAGTCGTGCGACTACCAGCTGCTGTAGTACCGACCCTCTCTGTCTGACAGGTGATTTGGTACCACGGCGAGCTGCCGGTGAAGGAGTCGCGCGACTACCAGCTGCTGTAGTACCGACCCTCTCTGTCTGACAGGTGATTTGGTACCACGGCGAGCTGCCGGTGAAGGAGTCGCGCGACTACCAGCTGCTGTAGTACCGACCCTCTCTGTCTGACAGGTGATTTGGTACCACGGCGAGCTGCCGGTGAAGGAGTCGCGCGACTACCAGCTGCTGTTCCACGGCGACCGGTGCACGCTGGTCATTAACAGCGCGCTGTCAGAGGACGCCGGCCCCTACTCGGTGGTGGCCATCAACTCGGCCGGCGAGGCCAGCTCGCGCTGCGCCCTCAACGTGCTCGGTGAGAGTGTCTGGGAGGAGGGAGGGGAGAGGTGGGGAGGTCAGCTCGCGCTGCTACATGAATGTGTTCGGTGAGCGGTGGGCTGGCACTGTACTTTTCAGGGTGGAGAGGACCTATTGAATATCTGAGGAGCGAAGGTGTTTTGGTTTCGTTTATTAGTTAGGGGCAACAGATAACTTTTTTTGGTAATGTCAAAACGCAACTGTTATTTGCTGCTAATTGAACTAGTCTCCACTCCAGCTTACGACCTGAAACATCCACTTTACGATGGGAGCTCCCTTCCTCGCAGTACGACATATCCCCATCCTGACCGGCGACCCCTTTGCCCGCAGCGCCGCGCACCACCTGGAGGAGGTGACCGAGGAGCCCTAACTCACCCCCACCCTGGCCCCTTACAGCGCCGCGCACCCCGACCCTCGAGGAGGTGACTGAGGAGTCCTAACTCACCCCCACCCTGGCCCCTTACAGCGCCGCGCACCCCCACCCCGGAGGAGGTGACCGAGGAGCCCAAGTTCACCCGGCTGCTGACGGACGCCAGTGCCCGGGAGGGCGAGCAGGAGGTGCTGGAGGCCGAGGTCACCGGCACGCCGGCGCCGACCGTCACCTGGCTCAAGGACGGCCGGGAGATCCGATCCACGGAGAGCGTCAAGGTACGGCCGGGCCGCAGTGGATTCCCATTGGAAGGGAGTGTTTGAGTGGGACTTTCTGACCTTCTGTGCCCGGCTGGATGTTTTACCTCACACCAGCTCGCAGCCCATGGTCCCCCTGTGAAGAATATATTCCCTGACAAAAGCTCTCACAGTCCCTGACCTATCCTTGCGTCCGTCTGTCCACAGTCCCCCCTAGACGGGCCCGTTGTTCGCATACGTAGCTGGCAGTGCCTGACCCCGCCCCCCCCCCCATCTTCCCGCAGCTCTCCCTGGATGGGGGCCGCGCCCGGCTGGAGATCGGCTCCTGTCTGCCGCAGCACGCCGGTAACTACATCTGTGTGGCCTCCAACCGAGCCGGCGAGGCGCGCTGCTTCGCGCACGTGACGGTTCGCGCGCGGCCGCAGCCGGTGCAGTTCCGCGCGCCGCCGCCCATGCAGCCGCCCGTGTTCGTGCAGATCTTCAAGGACCAACACGTGGCAGAGGGAGATGACGTGCTCTACCAGTGCATCATCGACGGCAAACCCAAACCGACGGTTAGTGGACGCTGGGGGACTGCATACTCCACAGGCTGGACTCCGGAGGCTGCGGGACGCGGGTAGATGGTCAGGTGTCCGTCAATGTTACATGTCGTATTTGGGGACGAGCTCCGTATCTGCAGTCATTGCCGTTCCTCCTCTCCCTCCAGTCCTGATCTGACTGATACCTGTCTGTGTGCCGTGTCACAGGTGCAGTGGCTGTTTGACGACGGCCCGCTGCCCTCGGAGAAGTTCTCCGTCTCCTCGGAGGGCCAGCACCACGTGCTGAGGATTCGGTCCGCAGAGCTCGACCACTGCGGACGCGTCAAGTGCATCGCCGAGAACGACATCGGAAAGGCCACCTGTGTGGCCCAGCTCTCCGTCGAAGGTAGCCGAAGCGCGGGAATCAGCGGCTGGGGTGGCTGCAGGGCTGGGCCCAGATGTCTTTCGGAGGTAGCCACACACGGAAATGGCTCTGGCGATCGGTTAGCCGTGAAACGTCAGTCCTGTTTTTGGTGTGTACTCTGTCTCGTTTCCGTCCCTGACCGCTCCACTCGTCGCTGACGTTAGTTTACTCTGTCGGTCTCGTTTCCGTCGCTGACCGGTCCACCGGTGTCCGTCGTCCACAGAGCCGGTGTCCGACCTGCCGCCGCCCACCGTCAGCCAGATGATCGCCCTCTCCGGCGGCGCCACCAACAGCCAGACGGCCAAGTCGTTCACCATGAAGAAAACCTTGCACACTGAGGTCCACGAACAGACGCAGGTGCGGGATGGGCCGTGAAACGGCCACCTCCTCGTCCCATGGGCTGGAAACGGAGCTGTCTACTAGTCACTTCATGCATTTTTTTCCTTGTTTGCGCAGAAACATCGAGTTCCTCACGATGACACATCGATTCAGCCACTTACCAGTTATCAGCATTCAGCAGTGCCCTACTCTGTCCCTGCCCTCAGGTGATTAACGGTGGCAGGAGACCGAAGCCGGCGGAGGAGCAGGATCAGGAGCGCAGTCAGGAGGTGCACTCCAGCATCGCGGTTCCTCCCGAGGAGCCGGTACGAGGGGGTAGGGGCAGGGGGGGGGACTCAACAGAGGGACGACCAGTGAGTGCTGTGATGGCTTGCCATTGGCTGTACCCAGGGAAGGCCTCTGAAGCTAAAACGCTCTTTTCTACCCCAAGCTTGATGTATTTTGCTCGTCTTTTGTCTGATGAAATGTGCTGTGAATATGACCCAACTGGTTTGATAGTTGACGCTAGCCTGACCTTACCTCAGCAGACATCCTCCGTCCTCAGCAGTCAGCTGCACCGCACAATCTACGAGGAGGTCCACACTGACCTGACCTGACCTGACCTCCCTCAGCTGCACCGGACCACCTACGAGGAGGTCCACCGCGGCGAGGTGGCGGAGCGGGTCGAGAAGAAGGTGCCGGCCAAGCCGCCGCGCTTCCTGACTCCGCTGCAGGGTCAGATGGTGCGCCAGGGCGAGACGGCCCGCCTGGAGGGGGCCTACACAGGTACGGAGGGAGTCTGCAGGGGTAGGGAGGGGTCTGTATGGGTACGGATGGGTCCATATACACGGGCGGTGGGACCTTCACCTGTATGTATGGGGACGGACAGGACGGGGCGGTGAATGTGAAGACGGTAGAGTCACGGTGATGCGCAGTGAGGCTGGTACATACCCGCTATCCGCACTGACGGCCGCCGCCCGGTCTGTCCGGCAGGCTCGCCGGCCCCCGAGGTGCAGTGGCTCCGGGATGGCGCCCCGCTGCCGGCCGACGCCGCGCCCCGGCTGGTGACGTCACACGAGCCGGGCCGCGTCACGCTGACGGTGGATGACGTCACCGAGGCGGACGCCGGCCGGTACACGTGCACCATGAAGAACGCCGCCGGCACGGCCACCAGCACCGCCGACCTCGTCGTCAAAAGTAGGCGACTGGGCGCACTGCCGGCGCGGGGTCATGGGCTAGCCGACAGAGACCGTTAGATGATGAGGCCGAGTGTCTAACTCTAAAGAGAGACTCAGTCGAATTCGTGCAATAATTTCGCATGAGGGCTGTTCACGGGCCCTGTGTGCGATCGGACCGCACACAGCCTCCAAGCTCCGCCCACTGCGTCCCTACGGCAGCCTTCCGTCACCGCACACAGCGACCGCTGTGGCCGGTCGGGACTGGCCACAGCAGACCGTCCACCGCACGCAGCCGTGACGTCAGAGCCGCCTACCCATCCCCTACCCCCACGCCTGCTGGACGCACCGCACACACCGCACGCAGCAGTGTGCGGTGTCCGTGAACACCCCAAAGTTCAGGAAATGTGTCCTGCACGTGTACATATTCCGCTGATGCTGTGGTCCACCTCCACCCACTAGTGGCCCGTTCGCCGGCCTGACTGACCATCCCCCCCCTCCTCCCCGCAGAGACGGTGTTCCCGCCGGTGTTCGACCACCGGCTGAAGGCGCAGGTGGCCCAGCCGGGCCAGCGGGTGTTCCTGGAGGCCACGGTGAGCGGCACGCCGAACCCGCAGGTGGTCTGGAGCCGGGACGGAGCGCCGCTCCACCCCGAGCGGCACCGCGTCAAGGAGGAGGGCAGCCGGCACATCCTCGTCATCGAGACAGGTCAGTGGGGACGGGGAAGGGAAAGCGTGGTCTCCCCACAACAAGGGTGAAAGAAATAAATACATTTGGCGAGGCAGTTGGGGTCATGCTGTCATGCAGTAGGTTCATAGATCGATTTATTATTATTTCATTCGACCCGTGTATTGTAACAGAAAATAAATGCGGAGACCAGAGTGGATAAACGAACAAACTGAACACATTGCTTCCCATAAGCAGTGCTCGTCACTCGGTAGGGATTTCGCTCGACGTCTAGTAGATGACGGGCCGGGTGCGCTGCGCGCGCTGCGACATGTCTCCGAGTGGCCTGCTCTGGTCGAACCCTGTGTAGATGTAGCGGGAGGCGCGGCCCTTGAGGGTGGCGCCGGCGCGGAGCCGGCAGCCGCCGCCGCCGCGGGGCGTGTAGGCCGCCGGGGAGGGCACCAGCTGCTGCTGCCGGCCGCTCATGTCCACGTGGCGCAGTCCGAGCGGGTAGCGGGCGGCGCGCGCCAGCACCGGCCGCGGCGAGTAGGCGTTGGGCGCCGGCGTCGGCTGGGCCGGGCCGGCCGGTCGGCGGCCCACCAGCGGGAAGCCGCGTCGGGTGCCCGGCGGCTCGTGCGGCTCGTAGGCGTTGGGCGCCGGCGTGCCGCCGCCGGCGCGGGCCGCCTTCAGTCCGAAGCTGAAGGCGGGCCGCGCTTTGGGCTCCCGGGGGAGTCTGTAGGTGGCCGGCCCGACGGCAGGGGGCGCGCCGCTCTGGCTGGGTGTCAGCTGTCCAGCCAGGCTGAACGCCGGAGCTCGGCGGCGCGCCGGTTTCTCGGGCGAGTAGGCGGCCGGTCCGGGTGTCTCCTGCGCGGGCGACTCGCTCTCGAACGGCCGGAACGTCATCTCTGACTTGCGGGACGTGCCGGGTGGCATGGTGTAGGTGTTAGGCGGCGGCGTGGGTGACGGGCCGCGCGGGTGCAGCCGCCGGCCGATGGTGGGCGCGTGGCTCGCGGGTGTCACGGGGACCGGGTCGTGCGCGCCCGGCCCGGGGAAGTCGCGGGTCGGCGGCGTCACCGGCCGCGGCCGGCCCGTGAACGAGTGGCGCGGCCCGGCCGGAGGCGCTCGCACGTCCCGCGCGCCCGGCCCGGGCCCGGCCGTGCGGTCACAGACGGGCAGCCGGGCGGCCAGGCTGTGGACGGGCGCCGACGGCAGGTGCGCCGTCACCGGGCCGTAGACGGGCGCCGGCGCCGACACGATGCCCTTGTCGAGCGGACTGGGCAGGCCGACCGTGACGCCGGCGGCCGGCACCGCCTTCAGAGAGGTGCGCGCCGGCCGGCTGGCCACGTCCCCGACGGTGACCAGGTGGACGGGGCCCGGCGAGCAGCGGTAGTCGGGCGCGCTCAGACGCGGCTTCAGCGTCACCGCCAGCCGATGCCGGCTGCGCGTCTCGCGCAGGTTGTAGGAGGCGGCGTTGGCGGCGTCGGCGGGCGCCGCGCGCTCGGCGGGCCGGCCGACCAGCAGGTGCGCGGGCGCGGCTGGCCGGTGGGCGTTCAGCTCGGGCAGCTGGTAGTTGGCCGGCCCCGGGGTGGGCGCGCACAGCGCGGTCAGCGGCCTGCCGCCCGGCGCCGGTATAAACTCGCCCATGGCGTCACGGCGGCCGGCCGGCGCCGCCTCCGACTCGGCACCCATAGCGGCGCACCAGTCCGACCTGGGCCTGCTAATGTGCTCGCATTATGATGAATTGCGATTAGCTTAGTTTCTTGTTTCAGCTGATTAACGTAAATTTTCACTTATGATGCAGGCTGCCCTGTATTGTCTATGTGTGATTGCACCCACCCCTTTACCCCACCCCTTAAAAACACAATCGAAACCAACCCGCTACAGCTCCATTGAAACTCTGCTAGGGTCACTAGGTAACTGAAATTTGCAGGTAATTATCGGTAATTATAGGTGATTTCTGCAGGTAGCAAAGTGTTGTCACCGTGGTGTTGTCATCTCAAATAATTCCGTGCTACATTATCCAAGCATCCTCTGCCGCGAAAATAGCGTAGGTACCTGCGTAGATAGCGTAGGTTTTTTGCACTTCCAAGTTCCAAGCCATGTTCAGTAGGTAGGTATTTACATGTTTTATCTAAGGCAAGTGAACACAGCCGTATTCATTTTTACCGTGTCTATGGTTTTGTTTCGGCAGTGACGAGGGAGGATGCGGGCAAGTACAGCATTCGGGCGACGAACGCCGCCGGCGAGGCGACCTCGATCGCTGACCTGGTGGTGACGGACCAGGTGCCGCTGCTGGTGGAGCGCCGGCTCACCACGCAGAACCTCACTGAGAAGGAGGTGGGTCCGCCGGTCCAGGCCCCGCGCGGAGACGGCCGCCCCGTCCCCTGTCGTCTCGGTCCGTCCCAGTCCGCTCCCGTATCCTCCCCGTCCCCATGCACTCCGTCAGTGTCACATGTTCCATCTTCCGTCTCCCGTTTTTAGCCTCGACCCTGTCACCTTTTCTGTCGCGTTCTTTCGCCTGTCGTAATTTCCTCTCTGCGCCATTGCTTTTCTTAGTGTACGGAATTTTGAGTGCGAGTATGGTGTATGGTATGGTTTGGGGATGGTCGGTCATATGGTGAGGGGTCTTCTTACGCGTTTTTTATCCACCATGGGCTCTGTGTTGCATTGTCCTGGTGTCTCAGAATGCTGATGAGTGAGGACTTACTGGGTTGGTGGTGGCCTGTCTTTCTGTGTGGTAAACATTGCAGCAGGTATATGCACAGGTCTGTGTGGGCATTCTGGAGTCACTCTCGCCACTGATATAGGCCCGATTTCAAGTTATTTGAGCCCGTGCACCTGCCTGCGCACTGTCTGGGTGGGGTGGCAGCACCGGTGACGGTCTGTTGTCTGTTAATCACCTGCACCGTCACCACCCTGTATAAAGCACCACACTGTGTTCCAGAACTTCACTTTCACGAGGAAGTGGCGAAAGTAGCCGGGCCGGCGCCTCAGCTGGCTCGGCTATGGCCACACCAGAGTCCCGCCGCGCCTCCCCAAAGCCGCCGTGGCTGTGCTAACTGTTCATATTCTGCTCCCCCCTAGTATAAGGCGACGCTTGGGCAGAGCAGTGTGGCCTGCGAGACGGCGCCGGCCGCCCCTGTGCCATCCGTGCCTGCCCCGGCCGCCGCTCCTGCCGCGCCTGCCGCCGCTGCGCCGGCCGCTGAGCTGAGTCGCCTGGAGACGCGCTCCCGACACGAGCTGCAGCAGCACAAGGAGCTGCGGATGAGCACCGGCGGCGTGTCGGTGGACCTGGCGGCCGCCGGCCGGCCCGAGCCGCCCATCGCCAGGCAGGTGATCCCGCAGACGGACGACGCCCAGAGCGACGCCACCAGGCAGAGCCAGCTGACGCGCCTCTCGGAGATCGCCGAGATTCCCGAGCCGCCGCCGGCGCGCCGCAGCGTCAGCGAGCTGAGGAAACTCGCCGAGGAGAAGATCAGGGAGGGCGAGACCGTGCAGGAGAAGGTGACCAAGACCACCGTCAACCGAGAGCCCAGGATCCCCGAGCTGACCGCGACACCGCCGCCCGTTCAGCCGCCGCCACCGACTGCTGTGAAAACCACCACCACGTCCCACGAGGTGAAGTCGCACACCCTCCGGCAGACCACCGAGACCTCGGTAAAGCAGCCGCCGCCGCCGCCGGCGAAGGAGCCCCCGAGGCCGGCCCCGAAGCCCGCGGTGCCGCCGCCGTCCGCCCCTGCCGTCCCGGCGGCCCAGCAGCCGGCGCCGCCGCCCGTCCAGTCGCCGGTGTACGGACGGACGGCCAGCGAGGCTGCGCTCACAGCCGAGCAGCTGGCCGTGGGCCGGGCGGCCCCCGCGGCCGCGGCCGCCCCGGCGCCGCAGGTCCACAGCGGAGCCAGCCTGTACAGGTTCCCGAAACCGACTCCCGTGCAAACCACCCCGGCTCCAGCTCCATTGCAAACCCGTACTCCAGCTTCTGCCCCAGTATCTGCTCCTGCTCCTGCCCCGGCTCCAGCTCCAGCCCCAGCCCCGGTTCCAGCTCCAGCCCCGGCTCCAGCCCCGGCTCCAGCTCCTGCTCCTGTTTCAGCCCCAGCACCCGCGCCGCTGACGTACGTATCCCACGCGGCTGCGGCCCACCAGCCGTACAAACCGCCGGTCCCGGCCCCAGCGACGGTCACCAGCGAGACGACAAGGACGAGCAGCGAGCAGCGCGTGACGAGCGAGCAGCGCGTCACGAGCAGCGAGCACCGAGTCACGAGCGAGCAGCGCGTCACGAGCCGAGAGGAGCGCGCCGGCTCCGCCACCGAGCCCGGCGAGCCGCGCCGACAGCCCGGCGAGCGGCTCAACAGCATCAAACGCAAGCTCGAGTCTCAGATCTCGGAGGTGGAGACGAACGGCTCGACGGCCGAGCTGCGCGGCGGTGTGTGTGTGCTGCCGACGCGGCCGGCCGAGCCGGACCGGCCGGCACCGCCGGCTGCGGCCCCCCGGCCGGTACCTCCGGCGGCGGCTGCGGCTCCGCGGCCGGCGCCGCGGCCCCAGTCGGCCGCCGCCGAGCCGTTCCAGCGGTTTCCCGAGCTGGAGCCGTTCCCGTACGCGCCGGAGCGGCCGCGGCCGGCCTCGGCCCGCGCCACCCGACCGCCGCCCACCCCCACCCGCTTCGTACCCGGCAAGTTCGGCGAGAGCGACCACGAGAGCGACTACGACGAGCGCATCCCGACCCGCTGGCAGGCCGACGGCTATGAATACATCGACCGGCGCGAGATCCAGGTGAGCCTGCCGGCGGCGGCGCCGCGGCCGGCCGACGCCGCCAAGCCACCCACGCCGCCGTCCCAGTTCGACATGCCGCCGCAGATTGAGCTGCCGCCGCGGCCCAAACTGGACACGCCGCCGGCCGCCGAGCCGCCGCGCGACCCGACTCCCGACCGGCCGCGCTTCACCAAGAAGGCGCCCGTCGAGACGCCGTGGGTGCCCACCAAGCGGCCAGTGGCGGCGGCGCCGGCCGGCCCGGCCCCGGCGGCGGCGGCGGCGCGGCCGCAGTGGCCGCCGGTGGAGCAGCCGGACGGTGGCCCAGCGGCGCGGCGCGCCTCCCAGAGCTCGGAGCCGGAGCAGCCGCAGTACCGGAGACCGGCCTGGCCGCCGGCGCCGGCCCCCGTCCAGCCTGCCGCCGCGCACACCACCACCACGCAGCAGCAGCAGGCCGCCTGGAGCCAGCGACGGACGGTCGAGACGAGCGCGGCCCCGGCGCCGCCGCAGCCCAGAGTCGGCGTGCCCCACAGTCCCGTGGGACTGGTGTCCCCCGGGCCAGCACCGTTCGTCCCGCCGGCAGCTCAGCCCAGGGTCGGTGTGCCCCAGAGCCCTGTCGGACCGATGTCGCCCGGGCCGGTGCCTTTCTCGCAGCCGTCGCCGCAGCCGCGCGCTGGCGTCCCTCAGAGTCCGGTGGGCCAGGGACCAGTGCCGTTCGGCCAGCAGAGCACCGGCTACAGCCGCCTCGAGAAGCGAGTCGAGAGCTCGTCGTGCGAGCGCCGCGCCGGTCCGGCCGGGGTCCGCCTCGCATCGCCCGTGTCCCCGCGGCCGGCGGCGCGCGGCCTGTCCCCGCGCCCCTCGGCAGAGGCCGTCACCATGCAGAAAATGTGGTCCACCAAAAAGTCGGAGAAGCTCTCCAAGATCTGGCCGCCGCCGGCGCAGGAAGACGACCGGCCGGCGGGCCCCGTGTGGACGCAGGACGAGCGTGACCGGCCCTCGTCGGCACTCAGTCTGGGCAGCAATGTGGAGGAGCGAGCCTACGAAAGCGCCGGCTACACGTCCGACTTTGCCGGGTACGCCTCGGAGCCGGAGCTGGCGGCGCTGGCCGCCCGCCGGCCCGACCCGTACATCCAGCAGAAGGTGCTGCCGCAGCCGCAGCCGCAGCCGCAGCAGGTACAGCAGTACCAGCAGCAGCAATACCTGCAGCAGCAGCAGTACCAGCAGCAGAGCAGGACCGTATGGCAGCAGCAGCAGCAGAGCACTGTGCGTCAGGTCACTCAGCAGCAGACTGCGGTCGGGGCCCGGCCGGCGCAGACCGTGTTCCGACCGGTGCGACCGTCGCCGTCCCCGCAGCGCCAGCTCGGCCCGGCGGCCGCCGCGTCGACGGCCACGTCTGTGACCAGTTTCAGCAGCCGCCAGGAGTTCCACAGCAGCCGCCAGGTGGTGCGGCAGCAGGCGCCGGCGCCGGGCGCGCCGCGGATGCCCGGCGCCGTGGGCGTGGTGCCGCACCAGTCGCCGCGGCCCGCCCGGCCCATCCGGCCCAAGTCGCCGCTGGTGCTGAGGGCGGCGCCGCCCGCCCGGCCGCCGTCCGCGCCGGCCCCGGCCACGGCCGCGCCGGCCGCCGCCGCCGCCCGGCCCGCCACCAGCACGCCCACGTCGGCCGCGTTCGAGCCGTTCCCGACGCTGCCGCCGTTCCCGTACCGCGCCGAGGAGCCACGCGCGCGGCCGCCACGTGGACCGCCGCCGCGCATGCCCAGCAAGTTCCAGAAGGGAGAGATGCGCGAGTCTGACTTCGAGTCCGACTACGAGGGCCGCATCCCGGCGCGCTGGCGTCCGCAGGACAGCGGCGACGAGGAGCCGCAGTACCGGGCCGTGCGCGCGCCGCAGCCGTCCCCGGCCGCCGCCGCCGCCGCCGAGGAGAGCTCGGACGTGATGGGCATTCCGCTGGCGCGGCCGGCGCCGCCCGTCACGCCGCCTCGCTCGCCGCCGCCGCGCCGCTCGCCGCCGGCGGTGCGCCGCTCGCCGCCGCGGCCGGCGCGCGAGCCCGACTCGGGCTACACAGCAGACGCCGAGAACACCATCCGCCGCCAGCGGACGTCGCTGTACTCGGAGACGGCCGACGCGACGTTCCAGTCTCAGCGGCCGGCCGACGGCGACGAGCCGCGCTCGGAGTCGCCGCTCTCCGTGTCCAGCTTCCCGGAGCAGGGCAGCGACGCGGCGCCGCCGGTGCGTCAGGTTCGGCCGCTCTCTCTGCTCGCTAGGTATCTGTCCTGTCTGTCCGGTTGCTGACTCACTGTGGCTCACAGCCCCGAGCTTTCCTGCGCCGCTGGTTTTGCAGCGTCCGGCCGACACAGCCGTGGCCGCCGCACGCACTGACGCTGAGTTCGCATGGCTTCCCCCGCCGCCGAGTGCTCTCTGTATCCAGGCTAGAGCTTTGGAGTGACTACCCACCGAGTGTGCATGGTGTCGGTTGTCTGACTGCGCCTGATCAACCACCGCTACACTGCGCCAAAACCTGACTGAATCCATCGCAGGCTGCGCTGAACGTGGTGTGACCTTTGTTTAGCTTTGGTCGTCTTTTTTAGAATCTCACAATAGATCCCATTTAGTGTTCATAGAATCCTAGTCGAGACTGCCCATGACTTATTAACTGAAGGCACGTGCTCTAACCCTTTTATCGCAATTCATAGGAAGGAGCCGAAATAAGCTACCCGTATCCATTGTAAAAGCTCATGCCGTTGTAAAGTAACGATAAAAAGCAATGAGATCTGGACTCAAACGCTGTTAGAGCGCTTCTTTGGCTACGTTTGCCCTAACTGACGGTAGAAGTTCAAACCAATAGATATAGAGTAGTGGCACGGTACTGTTTAAGTTTAGAAAATGTTTCCGCTATTGTATTCCCAACTACATCAGTCGTTTACCGCTTGATTTGTGTTTTTGCGTTATCTCAACGATTTTGATGGCTCGCTTACAGTGCGAGCTCTCACTCGTAAACAAGCTATCGTTGCCATCCACATATGAGCCCGACTGGGTGGTCCGGTGAGAGGCCCGCGCCGCTCAGAGGATGTGACTGTGTGTCTGTCTGTGTGTGTCTGCTGCAGAAGGATGGTGTCGCGGCTGACTCGGCTCTGGAGGCGGCGGCGCTAGACTCGGCCGTGGCTCCGCTGGCTCACTGGCCGGCGCCGCGGCCCGCTGAGCCAGCCGGAGCTCAGCAGCTCACCCAGCTGAGCCAGCAGCAGCAGCGCACCGTCCGGACCAGTGACGTCACCGACCATCGGTCCAGTGACGTCACCGGGCCGGCCGGCAGAGCCGCGAACGGACAGCCGGCTCCGCCGCCGTCCGTGTTCAGACAGCTTAACGCCAGTGAAAGTATTCAGCGGATCAGCGAGCGGCTCCAGCAGACAGCGAGGCCGCCGTCCCCACCGCGGCAGGTCAAAACACAAACCAAAACCACCACGGAGAGCCTCAGCCGGCAGGTCAGGACGTCTGTCAGCACCTCCGAGAGCGCGGTGAAAATCGCCGACACCCCCGCTCCGCCGCCCCCTGCCCAGACCTTCTACAGCGCTACCACCTCGGCCACATCCAGCCGGAGGGAAAACGGCCCGGGACAAACCCCCCAGACCAACGGAACGTCCGGTACACAGATCAGCAGAGCGAGAACGGAACAGAAGTCATCTGTGAGTAACCAGAGATCCCAATCCAGCTCGCAGACGAGCTCCAAGATGACATCACAAATGACCTCTCAGATGTCCTCCCAAATGACATCTCGTTTGACCTCACAAACAACCACACAAATGAGCTCCCAAATGAGCTCTCACCAATCAATAAACCAGTCGTCTCAGCAGTCCCAGAGACTTTCTCAGCAGACTTCCGAGCAGAGTTCCAAGCAGAGCTATCAACAGACCTCCCAGCAGAGCTCTCAGCAGAGCTCCCAGCTGAAATCCCAGCAGAACTCCGAGCTGAAATCCCAGCAGAGCTCCCAGCAGACCTCCCAGCTGAGCTCCCAGCCGGCGGCGCAGGGCCCCGGCCGGACGGCCGTCGCCCCCTCGCCGCCAGTGCCGTCCAAGTTCGTCCGCGGCGAGATGCGCGAGTCCGACTACGAGAGTGACCTGGAGGGCGGCATCGCGGCGCGCTGGCAGCCCGGCGCGGCGCGGGCGGGCGGCGCCGGCACGCCAGGCTACCGGCGGGTGGAGTACCGCGCCGGCAGCGCCGGGCCGGCCGCCGCCGGCCGCGGCCGCTCTCCCACGCCGCCGTCCCGGTTCGAGTCGCCGGCGGCGGCCCGGTCCCAGCCGGCTCCGGGCGCGCTCCAGACGGAGCCCGACTGTGAGCCGGCGCCGGTCGGGGCCGGCTCCGTGCGGCAGACGACCAGCACGAGCAGCCAGCTGAGCCGGCGGACCGTCACCGAGCGGCGCGAGACCACCACCGCCACCCGGGTACGTGGCCGGCGCTCACTGCAGCTCTGAGCCGAGAGAGATACGTGCTGATTTGTTATTTCTTAAACATTCTGTCGATTTGTAGTAATCGTGACATGTACCCCTGATTAAAGGGCAGAATGAGATAGTCATTCCAACGTTTTCAGATTCCCTCGCCGACGCCTCCGCCGCCCCCATCGACGACCTCCAGCCAGCTGGTCCAAGAGGTCCAGCGGCAGCAGCTGCTGCAACAGCAGCAGCAGCAGCAACAGCAACAGCAGCAGCAGCAGCAGCAGCAGCAGCAGCGGAGCGCGGCGGGGAGCCAGCACACCGACGCGACTGGTGAGTGTGATTCCTGCACCTGTCCAGTCGTTCTAAGCCGTATACTCGTAGTCGTTCAAGTGGTTGTATGGTTTCCTGAGCAGGATCATTAACGTCGCTCAGAGCAATGAATTAACGAAGGTGGCATTGTGCTTCCTGTTAGATCCTTTGGCAACAGATTTAATCATTGTGGCTTGTTTGTGATTGCATGCGTTTGGTGCCGATTGCCTAACTCGTATCCCTTTTGTCTGTCTTCCAGAGACTCTGTCCCGGCAGTTCAGCGAGATGCGCGACACGTTCAGCTCCAAGGTGCAGAGGCTATCCAAGGAGGTGCAGTCGGAGCGCGCCGCCCCCGCTCCCGCCCCCGCCCCCGCCGTGACGGCAGGGCAGGGCGGCGCCGGCCAGCCACCGACCGACAACGGCCGGCCGATGTCGTACCGCAACGAGGACCGTGCCCGCGACTGCGGTGAGTGCATTGACCGGCCCGGGACTGTGGTAGGTGAGCAGATCGGTCCGGCGCACTGCGGTAAAGGTAGGTATATGGTGTCTGTGTGACTGCGGTAAATGAACAGGGCGGCCCGGTACTGCGGTGAGTGAATGGACCTGTTAGGGGACTGAGGTGCCAGGGTGGGCCTCCGTGAAACTGGTGAGTGGGTAGGTCGGCCCGGGACTGCGGCTGATGGATGGGGCAACTGTAAGTGATAGGGTGAGCGATAGGGCAGCCGGTGTCTTACCGGAGGAAAGGACTGGCGAGTGGATAGGCCGGTCTCGGGACGGGTAACGCGGGCGCTGACCGGCACATACTCCACTCTGGGAACACTACCAAAGGATACCGTGGAAACCGGAAGACGTGCTGTGGCCTGTGAGACACTGCTTTGGTTGTGTTTTGATTACAGGGTTGCATGTATTTTAAATGGGAGGGATAAAGTTTAGTTGAGCTAAAGTCTTCCGAGATTCGGCCCCCAACCCTCGGTCGGGTCCAGCCAGCTTCAATCTTACGTCGTAAACGTCTGCTGTAGTCAAGGACATGGATAGCATTTCAATGGCGTTGCGAACTTCTAGGCACGAAGCACATCGACCAGGACACCGGTCTGATCTACTTCAAGTACGACTTCGGGTACGAGTTCGGCGTCATCCTGCCGGGCGAGAGGCCTCCGACCGTCGACATCGACCCGTCGGCGGCGGCGGCGCGGCCGGGCCCGCCGGCGGCCGAGTCGGTCCGGCCGGCCGCCTCCACGCCCGCGCCGCCCGCTCAGGAGCTGGACCGGGCGCAGCTCAGCGAACTCGTCACCGCCGGACGGCTGCGGCCCGAGAGCGCGTTCGGCACGCGCACGCCGCCCAACGCGTTCGTCGACTACCCGGCGACGGACGGCGAGCGTTCCGAGGGCGAGGAGAGTCGGCCGGGCAGCCGGCCGGCGCCGCGCGGCATCCTGCGCCGGCCGGCGCCCCTGGTGCCGCCCGCTCCAGTCGGCAGTGAGTGGTGCACGGACCGGTCCACCGGCCCGGGTGTGCGGTGCGGCACGGACGGACGCATGGGTCTAACGAGAGCCGAATAATGAGCCGGAGAGACGCGGCGACGACATGCCGCGAGACCGACCACGGAACGAGCACGATACAACGGCATGGGCGCAACGTGTCTGCATGACCATGTGATTGTTCTGTGTATGTGTTGCCTGCTGTTTTGTCATCTTTTATTAAGCGTGATTTTACATCCAAATGTGTTGTGTCATGTTGTTATTCTTTTCATTTCGACATGCTTCTTTATTAGTATGTCCTTTGCCAGCATGACTTACCTTGTCATGACATGTCTCGTTGTCTGAGGTGATGAAGTACTAACTTATCAGCATGTAGATTTAATTATGTGATCTGAGGCCATCAATATGCTATAGATGATGAAGTTAAACACGACGTTGATTCCAACCGTATCCCAGCCGACAGTCACCCGATCCACACTAATTACAACCATGCGTGGCCCATCGACCGGCACAACTATTCGTATCGCTACTTTCAATCACATCTACCCGTCTCAGTGTGCGACCTATGTTACTGGCCATCCCGCATTCCCTTTGACACAGTTGACCCACGCCTCCCCCCCCCCCTCACCGGCCACCCGGTGTGCCAGTCTCTGACAGCGCCTCCCCGCCCCGCCGCAGACGGCGCGCAGCAGCCGCCCGTTCTGCTGAAGCCGCTCTCGGCCGTGTACGTGGTGCGCGGCGCGCCGTTCGAGCTGCGCTGTCTGGTGGAGGCGGCGCCCGGCCTGCGCGTGGCCTGGACCAAGGACGGCCGGCCGGTGGGCGCCGGGCCCGGCTCGCCGTACCGCGCCGACTCGGCCGGCGGCCTGTGCCGACTCTCCGTCCGCGAGGCGTTCGCAGGTGAGACTCCTGTGGGACTGGCTGGCTCATGGAGCTAATATCCCACCGAATAAATGTATCGCTCACGATTTGTTGTCGCCGTTGTCCGTAAAGCACCGCCTACGTCGCCGATCATGCGCGCGTCGGACCGCCTGTCGGCATTCCAGTCCTCTATATGTCTGAACGTGTGCCATCTGCGCCGCAGAGGACGCCGGTGTGTACCGGTGCGTCTGCACTGGAGAGCAGGGCTCCGTGACGTCAGAGGCGGTGGTGACCGTGTCCGGTGAGCCCTGAGGAGCCGCCGCACCGCACCGCACTGCACTGCACCGCACTGTGCCATAGAGCACCGCGCCGCACCGTGCCCAACACTACTGCACCGCGGCGCAGCGCACTCGGTGGATGGGTTCTGGTCAGTACTGCACTGCACTGCACCGATCCGCACTGCACTGCACCCGGGGTGCTCCCCCAGCGCTGATAACTGCACTGCCTGATTTGAGAACCAGTGGGGTGTATTTGTACCTTTGTTGTTAGCGAGGAGCCGTACAGAAGATGACATGTTAGGAGACTGGGGAGGTGGAACAGGGATGTCGGGTGGCCTGTCCCTGTCGTCTGTGAAGTCCAGTCGTGCCAGGTACTGCTCCGTGGCCGCGGTCAGGTCAGTCATACGTACCGAGTTGTTGGGTGTTCAGGGGGTGGTGGGGAGGAGCGGACTGCCCGCCGCCGCCTGGGGTTCGCCGCGCTGCTAGTCACTGTTGGGCGTGTCGCCGCCGTTTGTACCGAGCTATGTGTGGTGTGTCCTGTCCGCCGGTCAGTAAGGCTCTGCTAGGGCCACCCTGTCTGCCCGTCTCCGCTTTGGTGCTCGTCCCTCGCCTATGGGCAGCTAGATCATGGATGTAAATATATAACGCGTTCTCGTGTTTGTGTGTGGACTGTTGTGTGAATAGTGCCGCCCCTGCGCACAGCGGGCCCGTGTTTGCTCCTGGCGCCACTATAAGCTCTGTAGAATGTTGTTGGTAGACGAAGGATATATTATATACAGTGACATGTCAGTTACTAATAAAGCTGCAACTAGCTGGCGAGATCTTAGTGAGGCCCGTGTTGATAAATACGACGACTGCAATAGCAATACACCGTCTCTGATCAACACTGGTTCCGACTCAAAGTCACGGAGGATCCCCGGTTGAACTTACAACTCAGACAAGTACTTGATCAGCTGCGCATTCAGCAAGAAAAGAAAAGAAACCTTTACCACCTCTGCCACTGCGATAGTGTGTTGCGTAACACGTGAATATATCCACACTCAACTATTTTCGTGCCTCTATACCTATAACAAGCATCCATTTCCTGTGTTTCAGGCGTCCCGCATCCACGCACATCCTTTCCTCGAGAATGTCAATCCGGCTGGACTACCTATTCCCACCCTGGATCACGGGATTCTCGGCCGCCCACCGACTCTCGTTCGGCCGCGAGTGGGACGGAGAGCGTCGGCCCGCCGCTGCGGACCGTGAGTGTGCGGCGGGTCCGGTACTTCTGCCGGAGCGTCCTGTGCCGTCCGCAGCCGCTGCCCGACTCCTGCCCTGGAAATTCCCCCGAAAGAAACATACAACATTAGTGGTAAGTGAGAGAGCGTGGTCCAGGAGATGCTAACAGGCTAATCGTTTCTGGTAGGGCTTTTTGTGGCATCATTCAAATGATTGGAACATCAGTTTTGCTTGCTTGTTTGTTCCTTTTGTTGGATTAGGCCCTTTCGGTCCATTGAGACCATTGCAGAGTCAGGAGGATGATAAGAAATAGGGGGAGAGGCATTGGTCTGGGCAGGCACGAGATTCACCGGGGCTGAGCCCATCCCAATAAACAGGTAGACCAGCCCCCAATTACTCTCTGCACCCGGCTACGGGTGTGCTCCCTTTAGAGCAGCGGTGCCGCTCCAAGGGAGCACCGTTTGAGATCAAGTTGCCTGCCTGTCTAGCCCGGACCGAGGGTTACGGCGTGGATAAGAAGGATTTGAACATTCTGAAGATGAAAACGACGGACGGGACATTCTGAGGATGAAAACGACGGACGGGTGAACATCAGCTGGTGCACACGAACCCTGCTCCCTCTCGTGTACCTACTCGTATATATCGGTTCGTTCACCCCGTTCCGGCTCGGATCTTGGCGTTCCGTATTCGGCGGCCGTGCGACGGTATTCTGAGGTATCACTAGTGCCTGCTCCCGTCGGTAGATGCCGGTGAAGAGCCCGTCTGGCCGCGGCGCGCCCCTCCGTGGGCGTTGTGGTATTTATTTTTACCCGGTTCAGTGTTTTGGTAGCAGCGGCTGCCAGCTGGTGGCCCGGCCCCTGCTGGTGACTCACCGCGTCTGCCCTGACCGGCGAACTGCCGCCGCCCGCCCGGCCCCGCACCCGACCGAGATCGGGTGCTCCGTGTGTAAAAATACCCCAGCGCATCAGACTCTTCGCAGCAACGGGTGCTGATCGCTTTCATTACTTTCTAGACACAAAGTGGGGCCATTGATCAATGTCACGTGGACGTCGGTGCATCATTTCACCTGGTTTGCACAGCCATGGTAGATCGTTTGATTTATTTTCGGTTTTGCTTATGGCAGCGTTGAATGCCAGTGTTTGTACGACACAGATTTCAGACGACACATCGTGCTCTGCCTCGCATCATCGGACAAATCATCGACACCTGGGTCGCCCCGCTCTGGCCCCTGGATCGCCCCTCTCTGACTCCTGAGTCACCCGCCGTCGGTGCGTCTGGCGCTGCGTCCGTCTGTCAGAGCCGGAGTCCTTCCGTCTGGGGCGGCGGTCAGCCGACGGACGGCCGGCCGGCCGCCCGTCTGACCGGGCCATGTCATCCGCGCAGCAGTCGACGGACAGCCGTGACTCAGTCGGCCCGAGAGCCAGCGTCGAGTCAGAGGCCGCCGAGTCAGAGGCCGCCGCCGGCCAGCGGCGACTGAGCCGTCTGCAAGGCGGGCGGGGCGGTGCATATGTTGCAGGCACTTTAGAAAATCAGTCATTTTGTAAAATGCCTAGGCATTTTACAAAAAGACGGCTGTTTGAAAAATGACTGAACGCAACCAGGCTTTTTTCAAAATGGCTAGCCATTTTACAAAATGACTAGGCATTTTGCAAAATGCTTGACCAGCATGGAACGTAGATCCCACTACAGATACTATGGCCAACAGTTTTTGGACGTCTTCCTATACCCTATAGGTACGTGTTCAGCCTGTAGCTGATCGATTTGAAGCTCTGTGATGACTACAATGCTGAGTAACGACCAGGTTGAGTTGCAGACTCGGCTGTAGCATAAAGCATTGTTTAGTTATCGCTGTAAAAACTCCCAAGTACATCAACGCCGTTCACGTTCTGCCTGAAACTAGACCTAACAAAACCAGCCGGAGACCGGCCCTAGTCAATAGGCAGGCCCGGTTGATGTACAATTACATGTAAACGAATGAGTGTAGTCTTTGTTTGATTGTGTCTTTGTTTGACAGCTTTGAGTACCTACTTGCATGGTCCCAGTTAAAAATATCAAGCTCCACATCGGGAGAATCATCAGGTCGCTTGGCGTAGGACGAGAGCGTTGGTTTCAGAAGACACTAGCGCCTAAGTGTGGGATCGAATCCTCGCGACCTCTAATGGTTTTACAAATGCAGGCCGGCATAGGGCCAGTCGTTTGTTGACGCTCCAGATCGATCATTCTAAATCCAGCAGCGTCGCTGACGTGGGGGTTGGAAATGTCGCGGGCCTGCACTTCTCAAAATAGAGAGAGGTAGGTATGGACTTCCCACTGCTGAACTCCTCTGGTCATAATGCTGGACTCCTCGGTCCACCTACACGCTACCAAAACGTATATAATTAGGTACTCGTATCTACAACACGCTGCTCAGTCATTTTGTAAAATGGCTAGGTATTTTGTAAAATGCCTAGGCATTTTGCAAAATGACTGGAGAGTCAGTCATTTTGTAAAATGCCTAGGCTTTTTGCAAAAAGCCTGGAAAATCAGGCATTTTGCAAAATGCCTAGGCATTTTACAAAATGACTGATTTTCTAAAGTGCCTGCAACACATACACCGAATCGGAGGAAGACGCAGATGGCCGCGTCCAATCAGACAACGGTGGCTCATTTTGATTCGCCATTTTTGTTAGCACAAAAGCTATGGCCAGTGCCTTTAGCTCCGTTAATATAAATATCGTTTTATCGGTCATTCCCGCGTCCACCTCAACCGGAATCGGTCATTAGGCGATTTTGATGAAGCATATATTTCATTGGCAGGTGTTTCATTCCTACCTAAAATGCTATGGAAAGCCAAAGCCTGCTCTAAGTTTGTCACGACCCCTCATTCCGTCTGGTTTGTGATCGTCGGAGCTGCATTCGAGTGTGCGCTGTCGTGTGGGTACTTCGTTAGGTGTCACGAGGCAGCCCGTTTACCTACTTCACCGGCGATTTGCAGATACTGATTTTTAGGGCAAGTTGTGCGGCCTGTCCTGCTGGGTGATTTTGCCTCTGTATGGTTCGGAACTCGCGGTGACCAAAGAGATTGTCCGCCGAGTCACTACACCCACACCCACCGTCAGGGCCCACCTGTTAGACGTCACCTCGAGCGTGAGTCGGGGGCGACTTTCCGCGTCACAGGGCGGCACGAATGCTCGGGAGAATAGCACGGCGACGTATCACTGACTCCAGTGACGTGCGACTGCTCCCGGTGACGTCACTGATCGCGGTGACAGCCGGCGGTGAGGCGGCTCGGCCGGGGAAGTGACTCAGCCGTCTGGGCGCTTCCCCGGCCGTCGGACGCGCCAGGACGGTGGCCAAACTGAGCCGCCCAATCACCGGCCGGGGACGGGGTGGGAGCAGCGGTCAGCCGTGACTCAGGTGGCGCACAGCTGCTGCACAACACACAACAGAGCCGGCCCAGGCTGCGCTATACTGCAGCACAGCGGCTCAGCTGACAGACCGCAGGACCGTACGTTGAAAATAGGATTCACCTCTCTGACAATGGGACTAGGGCGTTCGCCGCCCATCTGCCCTGCATTTCCCACTGGTCACTGAACATCGCTCCAGCCACGACGGAGGGACCCAGCGTTCCAGGAAACCAGCCTGACGATGACAGGGGAACATTAAAGGGAATCTGGGGCGGATGCAGGATGGACAGATAGAGGACAGGAGAGCCGCAGTGAGGGCCGCGCTGATTCAGAGCTCGAGGCTGGGCCGCCGCGCCGTCCGTGTCCCGAATACAGCGGTACCGTATGTACACGGCTCCGGAGCCAGGGTAAACAGCTGGCGGTACCGGCCCGCTGCACACTGGTCGGAAACGCCCTCACGAGAGGCCACGGGCGATTCCGGAGTTTCAGATTATTTTTTATATAGATCGATTTGAAATTGATCAAATTATTATACTTAGGCCAAAAAAACTAATCCGGGTGACCAAAAATAGCTGTAATCAGCCCCCGAAGATGGGATATCCCAGAACTCGGAAACTGACGCGGAGCAGGAGGTTTCTTGAGCCGGATATTCAGAGTCTTATTGCTGATAGACACCAAATTGAAATCCCACATATTATGCATCAAAATGTTCGTTATGAAGTTGCCGACTGGTCAGTGCAAAATTTTTGGTATACTTTTTCCCTAACTAAGATGTACTATAGCTTTTTTATGAAGGCTCTCCTACAGTGATTCTGGAATATAACTGCAAAGTTTAGGTAAGGAAACAACAGGTAGTCCCATCTAGTTCCACTCTGATTTTTTGTGAGATGAAGTAGGATTTAAATTTACACCAGGGCAACATAAAAGCTAACTGCGCATATTTGCGCAAAATTTGCAGGAGCCGCTCTTCCTACCCAACTACCGCCCGCCCCGCCCCAGTTTCGGCTCGGTCGCCGCGCCCGGCTTACGCTGACCTGTGTGGCCTGCACGCATCCATGCGTAGTTGACTGGTCATTAAAAACAGATGCGCTTGAGTTTATGAATTTTGTGAAAAGCGCGTTTTATGTATGCATTTATGTATGTATTGACATCAAAAGCCTTCCACATATTGCGTGGCGATTACGGCTTGCATTTAGAGAGCCTTGCTATTGACAACCATCACTCGGCTGAAGAAAGTGGAAATTGAAACCTTCGTGAATATAAGACGCTGCAAATAT